ATATATATATATATATATAAAAAATGCTATTTATATTAAATATACTATTATATTATTTATATTATATATATCAAAATATATTTAAAACTATTTATAATTTAAAATTTTATTTATTTTAAATAAATTTATTTAAAAATCCTATTATCTAAAAACATTTTGGGGATTCGGGTCTCCATGGGAATCCATCCTCGTCGGGGATCGGGGATGGGGTTAATTTCAGAATCGGGGTCGGGGACATGGAATATGATCCCCGCCCCGTTGCCATTCTTACACACCTTATAGTTTTACATATTTACTTAAACTTACCTTATAGTTTTCATTTTACTAAAACATCCCATATATTTTACAACTTATTTACTTAATCAACCTTTCATTAAGGAGTGTTTGTTTTGCCATTAGGCCCATGATTTTTTATTCCAAAAATACTCTTAACACTTTTTTGTATAAAAAAATGACCAAATATAGCCAATAGAGTGGTTGCCCGTGTCTTATTAAGGGTAAAAATGGTACTTTTATTTTTTTTATTAAATTTATTTAAATAAACATTAGGATCAACATTATCATTTCCCACTGTCATCTAATAGAAGATTGATTAAATCCATTGCAAATTATAAGTGGTGTTTTAGTAAAATGCTAACTATAGGGTAGATATTAGTAAATCCATGAAAATGTAAGGGGTATTTTATTATACGACCCTTTCTATTATTTAGCTTTCTCTTAATAAATCCCGTGCATCGCACAGGTCCTCGCTAGTTTAAGGAAAAGAGTATTTTACCCATCATTTTTATTGTTAATGTCCGTTAGTGTCCGTTAACATTAAACTTAGGGGGTGTTCTCTAGTGTGGATGAGAAATTGATGGGTGTAGATTGATCCACACCACACCCTGTGGCAGGGACCAATCCACACCACACCACAGTCCGCAACTATTTTGAATTATGGACAAATTGTGTGGACTGGACCAGTCCACACGGACTACACCCACAGTGGCGTGGTGTAGACTAGACCAAACCGATTTCTAAGTTGACGGTCCAATTTTATTGGGTAAACTCAACCCATTAACATCCCTATCTATTAAACAATATTATTTTGAAATGCACGGGTTTTGATATATTGCTAGAAACATCGAGAAAATGCATATGTACCGAGTCTACTGACAATGTGGGTTATGCATAATCCATTTTACCACTAGAGCAAAGAGGGCAACTAAAATTGGGTCAATATTGGCCCATTTCAACCTACCCACATTGAACACGACCACTGTACTATTCACGGTTGCGAATAACTTAATCCCAGTATATATGATCCGTCTCTGGGATGATTTGTGCCTTACATGTCCATTAAATAATACCAATATACCATGTTCGATATGACATGGCTAGATCAATTCGTTCATAGTTAAACGACCAGCTCAAATGGCCAACAATGTTATAACTTAGAACCAATAATGAACCTGGTTTAGCTTGGTTTTGACAAGTTAATTTTATTAATATTCCACTATATTATTATTTATCATAGTGAACTATAAATTAATAAAAATATTAACACAAAAAATATATTATTTTAAATATCATTTGTGATTAATTAGTAATAATACGAAAATCAATACAAATATCATTAAAAAGATGAACATAGATTTAGTTACGTTTTCAAATAAACAATTAATAAAATAAATTGGAACTTAAAAAATTACAATCCATTTCAATCCATTTAAATAATTACATTAATACCCTATAAAGTTAATCGAGAAATTTTAAAGATAGTTAATTATTAAATGATATTAATTTTAAAGTTAATTAATTGGACTGGAGTCAGATTGCTTTAGCCTAATTGGGAATGTTATAGGGATCCTTTTGCTTCAACTTTTCTTTACAATGTTTGTGCATTGCATTGGTCCCAATTAATGCAAAATTAGACCCCAACTCCATATCAAAGCAAAATTCAAAAGAAAAGCCCACCTTCTTCTATATACCACGGAAATTATAATATTATTATAAAAAGTCAAAGAAAATGCACAAGTGTAATGTAAGACAAATTACGACAAAGGAAAATTTTAACAAAATGAATTACATAATTAAGTCATTAATTACATAAATTCAAAAATAAATAAGTTTTAACTTAATTGATTTCATTGACTTACTGAAGGTCATTCCCTCAACTAGTATCTTAACAAATCAGTTACTTTTATTTAGTTAACTTACTTTTATTAATTAATTAGCTTAAGAAATTTATTTAAATTAGAAAATGATTATATAATTAAAAATATTAATTAAACAAAAGGATAATGACATAATTAGTTAACTAATTATAAATTAATTATAAAACTTATTTTATTAGCTAACTAATTAATTAATAGCACAATAAATTTGTTAATTAATTAAGTTAATAATGTAATAAAAGTTATAGATAAAAATAAAATATGAATTAATAAAAATATTTTAATATTTTTTATTAATACAAGCTTTATTTAAAAATAAAGTTAATACAAATTGGTACATGTTTATTAATAAAACAACCAAAAAGTAAGAAAATTTTAGTTTCAAAAATAAATCTTATATTTTGATATTCATTTTAAAATAAAATTATACTACAAATTTGTTGATAAAATTAAAAATAACAAAATTATTAGTTTTAAAGTTAATTATTATAAATTTAAAACCCCATAATCCATTTAAAATTAACAAAAATTAATAGTAAATAAAAATTTAATAAAGATTCAAACAACTTAATAAAAATAAAAACTAATACAATTTGGAATGTCATAATGCTCCTTCTACTAGGGGTGCAACATGGGTAGGTTGAGTCGGGTTGAGAGTCAACCCCTCAACCCAAGCCCAACCCTAAGTCTAAAACTTCGAGCTCAAACTTGGCCCAACTCGAAGTTAAGCCTTATTTTACTAACCAAGGTCCAACTTGAGCTTAACCCAACTTCTTAAGCTAAGCGTGCACTTGGGTGTGTTTAGCTTTTTATCACAATTTTTAAGTAGAAAAGATTGATAATATATAGATGTGCATATCATAAAATGTTGAGCAGGCTCAAATGAAAAGCATATCAGGTTCAAGCTACTTGACGCCTCAATTCAAGTCCAACCTGAGTTTAAGTTGGGCTTGAGCTTTTTTACCCAAACCCAACTTAAAGCTCAAAAACTCAAAACCAACTTATACAAAAACATTGGTTGGACCAAGATAGACTCGGGTTAAACTCACCCAAATTGCATCCTAACACTTCTTGCACTTTTTTTAAAATTGGACTAGACCAGACGACCAGAAAAACCGGGAATCGGTCACCTGACCGGTTCCATTTTCCTCCAAAACCGTTTTTTCCCCTAAAACTGTTGATTTTGGTCAACAAATCGCTGAATCGGCTGGTTAACTGTTTGAATCGTTTGAACCGTTGGAACGGTTTTGACTGTTTTCCAATTTTTTAATTTTTTTATCTTTTTTGTTAAAATGGGCTGACCATTCGACTCAAATGGTCGGACTGTTCGAACTAGTAACCAGACCCCTGACCGGTTCGTTTTTTAAAACTATCACTTCCTGCCTTATCGCAGGGGTCGACACTAGTAATATATAAATGAATATAAATGCAAAACAAAAAGGAATAAGGTCAAGACACTTTTTATCTTGAATATCAATAAAAGATAAAATTTTTATAAAATAACAAAAATAAAGTAACTTTTTCTGAAAAATATCAAGAAAGGGCAAGACACTGTTTATCGTCTTCCTCTTCTTCTCCTTCGTCCTCTCCTTCTCTCTCTTCTCTCTCTTGCTCTTCTTAATGAAACTGAAGCTCTGGTGTAACTGTGGCATCTGTCGTAGTTATCTCACTGCGAGCTGGTCGATTGAATTCGACAATCTCTACGACTGGTATACCCATCTCCTCAAGAAGTCTCTCAGTAAGACCATCCATGTCCATTTGCTCGGAAACACGATTACAGTCAATCCGGATAACGTCGAATATATGCTGAAGACGAGGTTTGAAAATTACCCAAAAGGGAAGCCTTTCTCCGTGATCCTGGGTGACCTCTTGGGTCGTGGCATCTTCAACAATTTTATTATATACTCTTTCTCCTTACTCCTTCCGGTAACATTGGATGCAGGTACGTAGGAGTGAGTGTCCTCTCTTCTTCTCCTGTTATTATTAAAATTCTGCTGGAAATTAGAGAAACTGAAATTTCTTTAGTTGTTTGCAATCTCAGCAAAACTCTTTTCAATTTTCTTGATCCTATGAACCATCTTAATGTTATATGGAATTAAACGTGAAACTGAGTCCCACACCTTTATTTTGAATATGGGGAAGAGTCTGCGTACCTTTATTCTCGCGAGATTATTGCGTACCTTTGTTCTGATGCTCACTTGACGCTTCAATTGTTGTTGCAATGCTTATCTAGCGAAATCATCCACCACGTCCTCAGCATCATATACTGCATCTTTAAGCTTGGCCAGTCAATCTATGACCTCATGGTCTATTGGACTTATTGCTTCTGCATTCAGAATTGCAGCTTTGATGGTAGATAGTAGATTCTCGAGCCTCCAACGCATTTCTTCCAAGTTCCAGGCCGATGACCTCTTCAAATACCCAACCACCGACTTCCTTGAAAATCATTCCTGCAATGCTATAAAGATCCGTCAATTCCATTTTTCTTGGTCTTCTTCCTTAATAATTACAGATGTTACATTTACATCAGAGCTTCAATCTCAGTAAGAAAAGCAAGAAAGAGAAAGAGAGGAAGAGGAAGATGATGAACAGTGTCATATTTAAAAAAAAATTTACTTTATTTTAATTATTTTATAAAAACATTATCTTTTATTGATATTCAGGACAAAAAGTTGCCCTTTTCTGCAATAAACCCTTCTCGTTAACATATAGGATAAACATGATGCTTTGAATGCTTTCCGACTCCGTTGGGATACGCCTAATCTCTTTTAAAAGCATTATTATAGCAAGTGCCACCTTTTTCTTTTTTGGACGTGAGATCTGACTCATATCACACCTGTGGTGAATCCGAATTTTGTCCTACAATTCAGAATTTTGTATTGGAAATATCTTCCCATGATACAAGGAGATGTTCCAAATGCACGCCTGAAAACGGTGTGACGACCATTTTTTATGAGGACGAAATCCCCATGTCACCTGTAGTTGCAGATTAACGTGCATCTAGATTCTAGAATGTGCCAAACAGAATATTTCTCGTCCAGTCGTCCCATACGGTACATCGTATCCGTGTTTGGTTCACTCTCAGCTTTTTAGCCTTTGCCCCTTATTATCAACAAAATTGAAAAGCCACGTATCCGCAACCACAAGGCACGTACGGCCCAGCCCAATCCCCAATCGGTCACTCAGCACTCATCCTTTTAAGCCACTCAGCCTCAACAAAATTGAAAAGCCACGTGTTGTACAATGGTTGGAACTCAAACGGAAAATCCCTCCGAGTCCGAAACCCGGATTATCTCTATAAAGTATTCACTATCAAAGATATATTACATTTTGGAGTTTGGACTGGCCTTCTCCAATCTCCATCTCCCCCGTCTGCTCTTCCTGAATCCCGTCGAGTCCACTCCAATCCAAACGCACAAAGACCCGTCGTCGCCCAAGGCCCAACTGTTTTTCTTACTAGATCTTCCATTCTTCCCTCGCTTTCCAGACGCGAACAATTGGAAAATATATCTAATTATCCTTTGAACTGAGTCGTGTCCGCTACGTTACTGATTCCGACTCCTGAGTGATGGCTACTGTACTGATGAGCTTTGATTTCATTTCCTGATAATTCTTCACTATCCTGCTTCTTCCAAATATTGAATTTCCACCTTCTTCTTCTTCTTCTTATTCGGGTGGCTGCTCCCTATAAATATGGCACCGACTGGAGGTAGAACATTGCGAGGTTGTCTTACTCCGGAGCGTGAACGTTTCGTTTTCTTGGCGCCATCCAAGTTAAATTTAGGGCTTCTGAATTTGTCTCACACTGATGTGATTGGATTTCATCGGAGGATTAAAACCACGGGGCTCTCCCTTGCCAATCTTAGATCGACATTCTTTCCGCCAATTAAGGCGATTGAAGAGCGGAAAACGGCCTATGTAAATGGAGACGCCAGTAATGCTGCAGGCTGGAATGGATCTGGATTGGATTCCCCAGCGGACTTCACTGACGACTGTGCTGGAGCTTCTGGTATTCTTTGTTGTTCTGCACACTACATTATTTGATCCTTGCTAGTGATTTGCGCTGAGTTTTTGTAATTTGATTACACAACACTATTTCATTGAGTCTCTCTTTGTTCTTCCCTTTCCCTTCAAATGGGATATGAAGTGTGTTTCGTTGTGCAAAAGGCAAGAGAAGCCACTTCCAGTATGTTGACTATTTTTGGTTGCTTAGACAGCAGCTATCATGTAGTATGTTTTGGACAGTTGTTGGAAGCTTCTTTTCTTTTTCTGAGCTTGAGCTTGTTGTTATTAACCTCTGTTATCCCTTGTCTTCTGTTGGCATTGTTTGTTAATTTTCTTGCCGGGTAGTACTTTGGCACTTGTTTCATAGGACTTCATACTTTTAATTTCTCTAAAATTTTCTTTCTTTCTTTTTTTTTTTTTTTTTTTTTGAATTCTACGTTGTTGGTGATGGAAGAGATCCCAATTACTTGAAAATATTAATTACTGATAAAAAAAATTACTTGAAAATATTAGTGAAATCTATATGTTTCAAGCTCATAGGTTCTCTTTTCGTTCTGGGTCTGACAAGGTGTTGATATTCTATTTGGCTAGGGGAAAGTCATGAAACAATATATAATGTTGGAAGTTCTACAAATATTGTGTGGTATGAATGCTCCATTGGGAGGCTTGAAAGGCAAAAATTACTTCAGCAAAAAGGATGTGTCATATGGATTACAGGTCTCAGCGGTTCAGGTTTGTTGATGTAATTTTAGTAATCACCATTCACCCCTAAGAATTTTTCTACTCGCACAAAGCTCAAATTAAAGTTAAACCTTGGATTTTCCTAACGATGTGAAAAGAAGCTTGTACAGTTACTCATACGCAGGACCAGTTATTAATACAATCATACTTTACCTTCTTTCAAAAAAAAAAAAAAAAAAAGAAAGAAAGAAAGAAAGAAAAATGGGCAAATAAAGCCTTCAATGGGATGCATCAAGGCTACAGTCGTGTTGAGTAAGGAATTTTGACTGGGTGTGAAAATATATAAAACTCCCACTTGCAGTTTTAAAATATGTGGCCCATACTCGAACATGTGAGATTCCTTAGGTGAATACTCGATCAAATTAAACTTAATCCTCCCCTTAAGGCCCTACATCCACTATGGAACAGGACTGGTAGAAGATCATGCCATTACTTTTTCTATCATACAAAATTTAGTTAACTCAAAGGTCAAGGAGGGAATCTGAGATGAGAACCTGATGTGAGGTCATTACATTTATAAACTACCTGAGAACAAAAGCAAAACAGAAATGCCAAAGACTAATTAGAGAAAACAAGCATCTAAACATTTTAATCACTGCTAAAAAGAATGGTTTAGACAAGTTGCTACAACTTTCTTTTACAAAGGGAATTTCCTCTTTTTTCTTTTGAAGTTTGTGGTTTATGTTTCTGTTTGTAAAGATTGCTAGTATCAACATTATATTCAAAATTCAGGAAAAAGCAGTGTAGCATGTGCCTTGAGCCGTGGCTTGCACAATAGGGGAAAGCTCTCTTATGTGCTTGATGGTGACAATGTTAGGCATGGCCTAAACAGTGATCTGAGTTTCACAGCAGAAGACCGTGCGGAAAACATTCGAAGGATTGGTGAGTATTTCCAGAGTCTTGATTTCTTCTTTCCCCCATCTCATTATGAATTTTATTGTATAAAAGGTATTCATGTTGTGGCAATTTTGCATTTAGACTGTCAATGAAACTAGAATTCTGGATTTTCTTCTTGAGAAAGTATATGGAACTACCACAGATGTCAAGATTTTGAATATGGATTCAAGTAAACTTTTGTTCTAATGAATTTTAATTTCATATTATTTGATTTCAGGGGAAGTAGCAAAACTGTTTGCGGATGCTGGGGTGATTTGCATTACTAGCTTGATATCTCCCTATAGAAGGGAACGAGATGCCTGCCGTGCAATGATGACAGAGGGAAATTTTATTGAGGTCTGAACTTTATGGTGTGGTGATTTTTGAACCATAATGCCTTATTCCAATATTAGTCACTGGAAAAGAGAAGGAAATTAAAGAGACTTTTATCTTATCTCTAGGCTTAAAATTATCTAAATGTTGATGATACTGGCCTAACAAAACATACACTGCATAGGTTTTCTTGGATGTGCCACTGCATGTATGTGAGGCAAGGGACCCTAAGGGATTGTACAAGCTTGCACGTTCTGGAAAGATCAGAGGTATTGTTTTGGGAATCTGTACCATACCAGGACTGGATGTGATTTTTAGTTGTTTCAAAGTTATTCCCAGATTGTTTGAGTATTTTATCCTTTATGATTCGGTTTTTAAAATTTAATGTTGATTAACCATGCTTGAAATTAAAGAGTCATCTAGAGGTTTCAATCTGTTCATCTATTTGACCTCATCTTGCTCCAACATATTATTGCCATCATCCCATTGATTTCATGAAAACTTCAAAGAATATCTTTTTGTTCTGTTATCCATTATCATTCCAAATGTGCATTGAAGTTTTGAGCACGACTAGTTGGCCAATCATTTGTTTTTGAGGCACTGAGTGTTTTGGTTACCTAATTTCCACTTTGATTGGATATATGATTGCTCAAATAAGCTGTTTTCAAATATTAATCTAATTTTTCCTTACTGGTGCTCAACTATTATGCCACAGGTTTTACTGGTGTTGATGACCCATATGAGCCGCCTTTGGATTGTGAGGTCTCTACTACTACTACTACTACTACTACTACTACTACTACTACTACTACTACTACTACTACTACTACTAAAAGGATGTTGCAATGTATTTTTAGAAATTTGTATGCTCTATCTATTTCCTCTTCAAAAATTATGGCCTTTTTACCAGCAAGTATTTCACAAGAAATTTGACAGTGAATTGTCATCTCTTTCAGATAATACTGAAGCAAAAGAGAGGCTGTTCGTCAGCATGTGACATGGCCAAAGAAGTGATAATGTACTTAGAGGAAAAGAGATTCCTGCATGCCTAAATACACATTTACTACTGAATTACTTATTTCTTGTTCATTGAGGCAGCTATTCAACTTTGTGAAATGCAATAAATTAGGGAACTTCTGGTTCCTTCTCTCCATGCTTAGATTGCTTCCTGATTCTACATTAATTAATCGATCGATTAATTAATATCATTGTTTATGCTGTGGTTTGGCTGTTGCTCTGTGCCCTACAGATCTGTTCTCTGTGATTGTAATAATGTGGAACTGGTTTTGTAGAATATAGCATCTGATCAACAGTTGTGTTTGTAAGATTATTGGTCTAAATTATCATTTCTGTAAGAAACTTTCTTTCCTTTATTCAGGTAGTCATGCTACCATTTGATCTATATATTCATCTATTGAATAGGACTGCACATTCGGAAGGCACAAGATTTACTTGGTTTGAACAAATAATCAAGAGCTTCTGCACTATGGAGGTACAAATTTAGTACACAAGTAGTCCTAAGATGAGCTTATGATTGTATGGATCATAGGATTGACCAAATTTTTAGGTTTAAAAACCAAGTTCCATCTCATGATGGGAAGGAAACCTGAAATGCAAACATTCACCTAGATGAGCAATGAAAAGTTGTATCATCATACAATGAAAGAAGCTCTATAATGAAATTGGATTTTCTCCCCATACAGTGTGCCTCACACCAACCTCACAGCGCATTGCAGCTCCGCATTGAGAATACCTTCTCATGAATGACATTCAAGTACTGGATGTGTTCTCAATGCACGGCAGAAAACACTGTGAGGTTGGTGGGGGCACGCTCTGTGAGGAGCAATTCTGGGTTCCTCTGTAACATATATGGGTGTGAAATAGGATAGCTGGGCAGGCAGTCAAGGTAGTTAGAGGCATACTCCAAAGTCCAAACCAGTGTTCAAAGTCTCAATACTCTCTGGATAAGCAAATTTTGCCTATCAAAGAGTTTACTTGATCAATTTTTTTTTTGGTATTTTGACAGGAAACCTATTCAGTGACCCTGAAAATCCATAGTATCAGTCAATATTTTGAACCTTGAACTGCAATATGAGTGAAAATAGAGACAAGGGAGGCACAAAACTTGGACAAGAAGTTGAGAGGAGACAATAGGCTGGACAATTATGAGACTGAGCCAAAACTTCCTTTTCTAAGTATAAAGGCCCGTTTGGGAGGGCTTGGCTGAAGATTTAGCCTAGCTGGTTCAGCTGCTTTGAAACCCTCTGGTTATGTTATTTAAAGAGGATGATGCGGACAGCCCTTCAAATGAAACGGAATTTGCTCTTCATTGAGTGCTCCTCACACTGACCTCACAGCATATCCCACCTTTGTATGGGAGATGTTCTCAATGTGTGGCCAGGACATGCTGTGAGGTTGGTGCCAAGAGTGCTCTGTGAGAAACAGATCCCAAGTCCTTAAAGCAAGAAGAGGTTGCCTTCGGCCTTTCCAAACGGGCACTAAATTTGACCAAATCATTGATCTTAATCTTGGGCCTAGGGCAGCTGATGTACTTCAAGGAAAAGGCTATACAGGCTTTTCAATTATACCGTCGGGCATGGTTTTCAAACCGTTGTTGACCTGGATGGTTGGACCGTTTGGCCTGGGAATTGTACAGGCAATCGGTTCTGTTTTACCTCAAACTTGGTCAACAATCCGTTGAATCGGGTGATTGAACTGTCGATCTGTTGACCTGTTTAACGGTTTTTGGTCGTTTTTTAATTTTTTTGGCCGTTTGAACCGGATGGTCGAACTATCGATCTGTCAACCAATGGCTAGAACGGTTTCATTTCCGTTTTTTTTTAAAAACCATGCCATCGGGCTATACTGTCCCATGTGATCACATATAAATAGGAGTTCACATCTGCGTCCCACATGCACATCTTAGCGTGCATTGGGAACATCTCTCTTAACATTGGGAAATGTTTCCAATACACACAGTTGGGATGTGCTGTAGGGCATTTGTGAGGCACAGATGTGAATTCTATAAATAGATCTAGGGTCTGAAAAGGTAAAAGTAGGTAAGGCTTGGCACTGGCCTTCTGTAACAACAGGAACAAAAAGATTGGGAATTGGAATTTCATTCCCTCATTCCTGATGGAATGGCATTTCCCCATTTGAGGAATGACTATTCCTTCCCCTTAAGAATGAAATCTCATTCCAGCTGAACCAAATAACCTATGGGAATGATCATTCCAATTCTGATTATGAGAGATTTTGGTTCTGATTCTGGTCGTGAACTAAAATGGACCCTAATTTTTCTTTCTTTTTTGAGATCCCGGCATTTCTATATATTATATCATGTCAATCCCTTTACGCTTCATACAATTTCCATTCTATCTGCACGTGGAAAAGGAAAATCAGCTTTAAATGAGGGAAGTACTACGGTTATTACTTAAGACTTAAAAGAGTAAAAAGCGTATGATTGTTATGTTTTGTTTTATGCAACAAAAGAGGAACAATAGAATGTAAATCACACCCTCAGATTTTTTAACTATAGAGATATGAATCTTGAGAACCCATCAGTTAAAGTACTGAGCTTGATTTCATTCATCAAAGACTGAAATATAATTAGAGCTTTCAATTTCTTTGTAATTATTATTATTTTAACCGCGCTCGTGAAAATGTATCATGTACGTAAGGCTGTCAAGTCTCAACCAACACCACTCGGGATTTCCTATTCACTTTTCATATCCATTCTCTATCCGCTGTGAATTGGAGTCATACATCTCTATTATGAATTGAGAGATGTATGGCTGCAGTTTATGGCGAGTAAAAAGTGGGTAAGAAAAGTGAATAGGAAACTGGGCTCCCTTCAGCGGCCCATTTGAAGAAACAGTCCAATAACCTACCGGTTTTACGCTTTTAGAACCCAAACGGAGAAGTATGGATACACATGATGTAGAATTCTGAATTCCAGCCCCCACCCCCCCTACTATTAGCCCTCTCCCCCCCTATAAACTACATCCTGCCCGTGAATTTGACATCAATTCACGGTCAGGATGCATTCACCCTGTACTTTGGGGCTATAAAATTCTGATCTGGGCTGATTGGTCATTCTCCCAATACCAAATACAATACTGCTCAAAACACTTGTTTAATGCCTAATCATCACAAGTACCAAAATAAGTTGAAGTGGCAATGGTAACTAAGACAACTTAAGCCCGGAGAGCTTAAACAAAGAGATTTGAGTTCTCGGAGAGAGTTGAAGTGCTAGAATGTTTGAATGAGGGTGAAACGCCCTTCATATAATATTGTGGAAACATATTCTTTTTAAGGTAAGTCGTTAGTTAAGCAGTATTGTTAAGCCAATTTGTCAAGTGATTATGGGTAAATTGCAGATTGGTACTTTGTATGAGCTTCAAAATGTGTCACTAGGTACTTAAACTCTCAAAAACTATTAATTTAGTCCAAAACTGTTAACCAACGTTAGATGCTATATGAAAGGGCAAAAATGCCCTTCGAGTTTTGAAGAGGTGAGGTAAGCATCATTTCCAAAATAGCCATGTTTAAGTCCTCTTCCACTGCGATTGGACACCACTCTACACTTTTATACCCTAGCCTTTCTGTCAAAAAACCAGTGCTTCCCATTGGAGAAGCTACACAGAAATACGTCACCACAATGTCATTGCCGGAGAAGAGGGAATTAGAGCCACTGTCATTGTAATCCTTTTTTCAATTATTCAATCCATAACAAAGGGGGGTTTAGACCGTCGTTATTGCCAGAAAAGATGAGTAATTCAGGAATACAATCAAAGGTGAAATGGTATAAAAAATATTAAAAAAAAAAAGTAGTTTTCATATTTTTAAAAAATTTAAGCCACACATGCCATCATGTAATACAATTACAACACGTGTTAAATTAGTAATTTTTGAGAGATCAGATATTGCAATTGCATGTTTAGAAGTTCGGGTATTAAAATGAGACTAACCCGAAAGTTCAGGATACTAATCTGCAATTTACCCTTCCATGCTGGCTACATGTCCCTCACAGCCCTATTTAATTTCGCATTGTATCTAATTCACACCCTTGATGCTTCGGCATTGGAAGTTTGGAACCTAATTCCTTGTATCGCAATTTGCAAACGCTTCATTTACACATCTATCTACACACTGCTACAAGAAAATGATAAACCTTGATCGGATGTCTCAGTTTTGTGTACAAAATGCTGCTGTCCAAGCCCATGGATGTTCCCCGGGTGCTGTCGTAGACATAAATTTGTATGCAAGTTCTGCAAAGATCCATCCATTTGGAGTTGGACGCCATGCAAACATGTCTTAAAGGTTAGAGCCTTAGTTCTTTAATGAAGCAACTGGCTGAACAAAAGAAAAGATCATTTAAAAACCAATTTTGGAAAGAACATTAATACGCCATTAATTTCCAACCTTTTCCAAATCATTCAATCTCGAGGATACCTCCTTATATAGATAGTCGTATGCAACCCAGCTCCCTCAGTCTCTGTCTCTTTCTCTCTACAGCCTGTTCTCCATAGTAATTGGATCTTTTTGAGTAACTGGTTCAAATCAGTTTCAGGGCACAGAAAGAGCGAGTGGGTGACGATGGAGGGTGCTGATGGAGGAAACCATCTGCTTCTGTTCCTGTTTTGCCTCCTTCTTGCAGGTTTGTTCTTATCGTTATATATAAATCTAGCCAAGTATTGCTTCTGTGGAAATATGGACATTACGGTTGTTTTGTATTGGTGGGTAGCGATTAATTTTCTCTATAAACCGTCCGTCACCACAAGATGAATGCATTCATGGAACAGTTAATATTGCTATTTTGCTGTCGTTTTCCTGTGTTTTTTGTAAGTTTTTTAAACGCAACAAAGAAACTCTTGGCTTTTGACCATCTAAATTGAATGGTATTATTTTTATTTTCTGCTGTGAGAGGAAGATCAGAGATTGAATTTCTTGACGAGAAAAGAGCTGTAAAAAATTGAGTCAACGTGATTAGCATAACGATCACAGTGGTGCCTAGGACCACTGTCTATCATTTGCTTTCTTAACATACAAGTCACTAGTACTACTCACCAGTGCACAGATTTATTTATTTATTTATTTTTTAATTTTGGAAGGATATATTTATTGTATTTTGGAATAATATAGAGCTGGTCATGGTCCCATCCCACGGAGATTTATAGCAACTTCACTGCTTCCCCCATTCCCATACCCATACCAATAAAAGCTTCTGATTTCTGGAGCGTCTCTTAATGGTCCCACAGAATAAATGGTGATCAGATGGTTCTAACCGTCCGACTGACATTCTTCTTTACCAATTTGCCTTCCTATCGTTCAAGTCTTAAGATCTGATCTGAGCCCTACCTTGTCCAAGCGGTGGGTCCGGATCGGCTAGTTACAAACAACTTACATGAGTGCATTTTGTCAAGTTCTATGAACAAGTAGCAAAAGCTCATGATGTGCTTGTTTGTTTGTTAAGATCCACTCCCCCTGGAACATGGATATTTCAATGATGGATCCGTTTGGTTTCGCGGGAATAGGAGTTTGGAATCAGAACCAGAATGGGTCATTTCGATTTCAACTGTTTAGCTGAGTTGAATTGGAATCTCATTTCTGGCTTTGAGCCAGGCCTAGCATGAAAGAAAGCCCAACTAGCTAGGTCCAGCCTCTTTGAGCCGAGTTCACATCCCCACAATGGGCCGCCCCCACAACGTCCCTCAGCACATTCCTGCTATGTATTGGAAGATGACATCATTGGTTCTGGTACTATCATCGGGAGAAGTTCTCAATATACTACATTGCGGGGCGGGCCCTTGTGGGTAGGAGATGTGATCTCCATTGAGCCAGGATATCTATGCAGGCTCAAACAAAATGGGCCGTTCTTAGAATCCTGGCATGGCCTGAAACCTTCCAATTTCCAATAACCCAAAATATACAACCTCATTTCCATTAACTTACAGAGTAGTGTAGCTCCCTTGTCTACTTACTACATATGGTGTTTCTTTGTGGTTACAGGGTCCCTTGTTGAAGCTTTATCCTACGACTATTCGGCAAACATCGAGGTATGCTTTCTGCAACTCGAATTCATAGGCATTTTGTTACGCAAACAATGCTTCTAATATTAATTTGTCTGCTTTCGTTTCTTCTTCAAAATTTGCAGTGTTTAGCAGAACCTCACAGACCTCAATACGAAGGTGGTATCATTACTAACCCAGAGTTCTCTCATGGCTTGAGAGGATGGTCTATCCTTGGGAGTGCAAAGATTGAAAGAAGAGTGTCAAAAGGAGGCAACAGCTTCGTCGTCGTTCATGGAAGGAAACAACCACATGATAGCATCTCGCAGAAGATTTACTTGCGAAGGGGGAAGCTTTACACCTTCTCTGGTAATGTTCGATAAAATGGCAACCCCATAAAAGCAAAATTTAAGACAGGGTCTGTAACTAATTAGTGTAATTGTATCTAATGGAAACATTGTACATGTATTTGATTGTGTTCTTACAGCATGGATACAAGTGAGTGAAGGAAAAGTGCCAATTAGAGCTGTTTTCAAAACAAAAACTGGATATAAACATGCTGGTGCAGTTATAACCGAGTCTGGCTGCTGGTCCATGCTTAAAGGTGGCCTAACTGCTAACTCTTCTGGCCCGGCTGAACTCTATTTTGAGGTACTTTTATCAGGTGCAGTTCTTTCTATGATCGATCTTTAGTCAATACAAGTACTTACAATTTCCCATATATCGTCTTCAGAGCCAAAATAAAACGGTGGATATATGGGTAGACAGCGTCTCGTTACAACCATTTACCAGTGCGCAGTGGAAAGCTCACCAAGAGCAAAGCATTGAGAAGGTAAATTAAAGAGCTGTCAAAACAAATTAAATGGGTTAATTTCTCTGGTTTTTTCTATGTTGTATATATACTTAGAGAATTGATTCATGTTGCAGACACGTAAAAGGAAGGTGAAATTCCAAGCTGTTGACTCACTAGGAAATGCCCTAGCCGGTGCCCGAGTCTCCATTCAACTAAAAAAGCCGAGCTTCCCATTTGGTGCTGCCATTGCTAAGACTATCCTAAACAATCCTGCGTATCAGAAGTGGTTCACGTCCAGGTTCACCGTGACCGCCTTTGAAAACGAGATGAAGTGGTACAGCACTGAGTCCTCTCCCGGCAAGGAAGACTACTCGGTAGCCGATGCCATGCTCCAATTTGCCAAACAGAACGGAATCAGTGTGCGAGGCCACAATGTCTTCTGGAATGATCCCAAATACCAACCATGGTGGGTACCCAAGCTATCGCCTAGCCAACTCAGTGAGGCCGCATGGAAGAGGATTAACTCCATTATGTCAAGATACAAAGGGCAGGTTATTGCATGGGATGTTGTTAATGAGAACCTCCATTTTTCCTTCCTTGAAGATAGGTTGGGTTGGAACGCATCCGCAGCTTTCTATCAGAGAGCACATCAGCTCGATGATAGAGCAATCATGTTCTTGAATGATTTTAATACAATAGAAGACAGCAGGGACGGGAAGTCGACACCGGCTATGTACCTTCAGAAACTGAAACAAATTCAATCCTTCCCAGGGAGCAGGATGTCACTAGGAATTGGGCTCGAAGGCCATTTCCATACCCCAGATATTGCCTACATTAGAGCTGCTCTCGATACTCTTGCCGCTACAAAGCTGCCCATTTGGATCACAGAGTTGGACGTGGGAAGCGACCCAAATCAGGTAAACTTCATGAATGTAAGATTTTACAAATTAAAAGCATTCCTAAGCTTGTCTCTGTGTGTGTGTGCATGCGCCTCAAGCTAACCAGCTTTGCGTTTTCTGTATGTGCAGGCAAAATACTTGGAAGAGATCCTGAGAGAGACACACGCTCACCCTGGCTTACAGGGAATCATCATCTGGGCGGCATGGCGCCCGGAGGGGTGTTACAGGATGTGCTTGACGGATAATAATTTTAAAAATCTTCCCACAGGCGAGGTTGTGGACAAGGTGATAGGTGAGTGGACCCATGCACACTTGGCCGGCTTGACAGATAGCAATGGCTACTTCGAGACCTCGCTCTTCCATGGGGATCATGTTGTAACTATTACTCATCCATCCATGAATTCTTCTTTGGTTCAAAGCTTCAAGGTGACAACTCCTCGTGTTTCTCAAGAAACAATGCTCGAAGTTGAAATCAATGCATGAGAAATAGTTCACTCTCGGCAGTAGATCATGTTCTGTTGTTTCAATAGAGAAAAAAAAGTGTTCGACAAATTTTGCAGTTTAATTAAATAAAAGAATATAATGCTTCGAAATCCCATTACCATGTTGGATCCCTGTAATGGTGAAAATTTTGTTTTGATAAATAAAGTTTCCATTGTATAAGCACCAAAAAGTTTTCATTTGGTGATCGACAGTGAGCAAATGCAGTCTGGATTTCCTGCTTCCTTCACTCTGATCTTCTCTCTATTGCCCAGTAAAACAATGCCAACTGTCCCCACTTATGTGAGAAGAGTCCCATCTTGTGCTACAGCAGGACAACCCAAGGCATTAACCCCCTTTTTTATTGTCAAAACATGGTTAATTACTTAAATATACCCTATTGTTTTACTATACTACTAATTAATATCCCAAATCTATTTAAGTACACCCCGTGTGGTGGCCCGACAGAGTTATGTGAAAGAAGTGTCAGGAGCTTGAAGGAGAAGAGCTCTGGAGAGATTGTTTTGTAGTTGAGTTGCTTTATTTGCTAATAGCCTAATACAGAGAAATGGGTTCACAGAGTTTGAAGAACTCTTTTGGTTTTCCACAATCAAAGTGACAGAGAGATTGGTGAACTGTTAAAGATTTTGCTCGTCCCATCTCTTTGTTTTGATTTTCTTTCTTTGAACTCTGTATTTTGATTTTCTTTGTTAATGTAGTACAATATATATTTCTAATCTTGAGAGTCGAGATTTCTTGATGAATCCGAATTTTCACTTGTCGATGGTATATGATATCTTCAAATGGGATGGATTAGCTCGACATATCAACTGATAAAGTATTACAAGCTTTTTTGAAGCTTAAATCTCTGTGAAGGGGATGGTAGGGTTGTGATTCGGCTTATGTCAACTCTGGGTTGTGTGTGAGAACAGGTTTTTTGGATATTATGACTTGTGAGAAGAACAGGCTTTTGTTATTACTGAACAATGGGCCTCAGACCCCTACAAGCTTCTTCGTGCAGTCCTGCCAGATTCAAAAAGGAGGTCTATAATTTGTATATACTCGCTATTAACTCAGGGAATCAGATATGCGGTTTTTCTGCATTTTACTTTTGTTCTTTCATTCGTTTGTTGAGGTCCCAGCATGTAATGGAGGTGAAAAGGAAATTCAGCTTTTTCTTTTCAATAAATGAGGAAAATAGAAGAGAATACTACGGCTATTACTTGAAAGAGTAAAACATCAGGCCCATTATTATCAGATCAATGCTATATTATTATGTTTTGATTTATGGTGCAAAAGGAGAACAATACTATAGAAGCCATACCATCAAATATTTGAAAAAAAAAATAGAGATTTGAATCTTGAGAACACATCAGTTAAAGAATACAGGTTATTGATTTCATTCATCAAAAACTGAAAACTTGTTAAAACTTTCCTCTTTAATAATATTGTTTACATAGGGCAGGAAGGGTGGAGAGGTTCCTGTTGGGGGAATGTACATTACAGTAGCAGAAATGAGTGTGAAAAGCAATCTCAGGACACCAAGAAACTTTCCCCTAAGTTTGGGTGTTAAAATGGGTTTGTCAATAACAGTAGATAAACAATTCAGACAAATAACAAAAAATACAAATAGCAACCACCACACAATAGCACACCTGAATTTTTACATAGAAAACTCCAAAATTGGGAAAAAAACCACGGGACCTATGGTCCATAAAAGTCTTCCACTAATTTAGAAATTAATGGGTACAACAGTCCTCTCTAATTGCAACTAAAGGTTTACAAACATCAAGAAAATAATCATTGGCTCACAAGTACAGCATTAACATCACCAATTAACATCCAATTGGTAATGAAACCTCTTACAAATCGATGAATCTAGATCACTTGCCTCTAAAATACGTTCCAACACCCTATCAATTTGATTTGACACCACACATCTCATGCATCTGAAATCAAAACTTAGTTTTTTTTTATCAGTTTCAATTCTCAAATTTTAAAATTTCGTTAACAAAAAAAAAAAAAAAACTGATTTGAAAAACCAGTCTGGTCTGATTACAAACATACATACACCCCTAAGTATGTATCTATACATACTAGGGCGGAGCTAGGAAACTTTCAACAGGGGGACCAAAACCTAAGATGAATTGGGGATGGGGGAATAAGTATGGATGGTCATAGGGGGGGCCAACCCATTGGGGTGGGGAGTGGGGGGAGGGGGAAATGTACATGAAACTCAAGTGGGGATTTTTGGGACTATAGGGGAGCCATGGGCTCCCCTGGATCCCCATGGTTCCGCCCCTATATACACACATATATATACTCCATGTTATGTACATATATACATTAGACCTATTCATGGGTCGGACCGGCTTTTTACTCTTCATAAACATGATTTTATTAGGCTCGAGCCCGAGCCTAGCCCTAATAAAAAGTCCGAAGCCTGACCTAATAGAAGAAAGAACTCTCCGCCAATGATTGAGTTCACGTCTGAGAGAGAGAGAGAGAGAGAGGGAGAGAGAGAGGACTCACTGCCGTCGCCGGTGCCTGTGTTCACCGCCTCGCCAGTGCCTGTGTTCACTGCCTCGCCGGTGTCTGAGATTTGAAAGAAAAGAAGTGAGAAGAGGAATGAGAGAGAGAAATAAAGAGAGAGAAAGAGAAGACTCACCGCCAGTTTGCCAGAGTTGTTGCGCCAGTGAATGTTCGCTGGTTCTGCAGCTGCTTGAGAGTGTGAAGAGGATGTGAAGAGAAGAAAGGTTCGGCTAACAGGAAATGTGGAAAGAGATGACTGAGAAGGATTAGGATATTAGGGATTTTGGGTTTAGTCTATAAGTCGAGCTGGGCTATTTTGGCAAATCCCGAGCCCAGCTCGGATTTATTGCAGGCCGGGCTCATTTGCGTGTTCAAGCCCGTCCAGGGGCCGAGCCGGCCCATTGGACCACCCAGCCCATGAACAGGTCTAATATACATATGTATGTATATTAGTTTTTATTTACTTGGTTTGATTTTTAACCAAATAAACCAAAGCAGAAATCTCTTAAACTACTAAGAAATGGATTTATAAACCCCTACTGTTACAAAATCCCTTAAAGTATCCCCAATTCTACCCCTATTATTAACAAATGTAACAATCTGTTTGCATGTGACCGCATGTGACTTACAACTTTTGTAAAATCCAATTTTACCCTTTGTATACCAACAACATACAAAAGTCTATGGTCAAAGTCAAACCTTTTGAGATTGAACAAACCCTTCTATTGTATCAAATGTGGTTGACACCACAACTCAATCTATAATCACTCTCTTTGGACATATTTCTACCCCCACACTCAAGGTGAAGGAATCTCACCACTGATAACTTCTCCACAAATCAGTTTTCAAAAGAGACAAGCCTATTGTTGAGCGACAACTTTTCAGAGTAAGCTCTTCACGCCATTATTCACTCGGGATTTTCTATTCACTTCTCCTATCCACTCTCTACCGGCCGTGAATTGGAGCCACACATGCCTATTATGAATTAAGAGATATGTGACTGCATCTCAAAACAATTAGCGAGTAGGCAGAAAAGTAAATAGAAAATCTGGGCTCGCCATTATTGGCTTCTTATCTACACCTTAACAAAAGAAGAAAGTTGATGGACGTCTAAGAGATTATCATCCATGTAAACTTGTTGTACTCCAAGGACAAAGCTAAGAGCTTTATCATCATCACCATGAAAACTGGCAACAATCCTTGAAGCTCATTGTAAAAAAATCAAGCGCTATCCATTCGCTTTGGGTGCCCATGGTCCAGTGTACTTGTAAAGACAAGATCTATTGGTTGAAACAGAGTTGGTTGTTGTAGAGATGGGTGAACAGTGCAGATGAAATAAACCAAAAAGTTAGCTATTGCTCATACCAAACACTTCTAGAAATCTGAAATTTTTAAACAAACATGGATGCTTGCTTTCTCTTTCATTGAGCTTTAGGCTGTGTTTGGTTGCAGTGCAATTTTATTTGTATCAGTATAAATGTATGGAAATGCAAATTATTATTTAATTTTGTTTTGGATTTTACTTTATTCTACTTCGTGTCTTAATTTACTTCATTTATATTGCAATCAAACAAAATAAGATAAAATTTAAAACAAAAATAGGTCAAAATTTACACTGAAATCATTTGTACTGTCATGGTTTTGTATCAATACAAATTTATTTGCATTGCAAACAAATACAGCCTTAGGCTCAGTTTGGAAAGAGTACAAATACATACAAAATAATACAAAATACAAGATTTTGCACTCTATGTATTTGTATTTATACTCCTTCAAAACTGAGCCATAATAGACATATTGAAAATTTTTACCCTTTTTCTTTTTCTTTGCTACTGCCACACTGTCAAAGGCATGACATGACAAAATAGATATTTTCAATATTTTTTCTTTAATATTTAAAGGTGGCGTCAATTGTTAAAAAAAAAACTAGGGATATTCTATGAGATTTTACAAATATCAAGGGAAGTTTTAGTCTATTTCCTAAAACGCAAGGATAGTTTAAAAGACTTGCCCGAAACCAAATACTTCCCTTTACTTACATAGTGATTTTGCTTGATGTTGATAATTTATTATTAGGAAAAATTTCTTGTACTTTGGCTTGAGTGACAATTTGGTCCCTGAACTTTAAAATGCGACAATTCAATATCTGAACTTTTAAAATGTGACAATCCAGTACCTGCCATTAACCAATCCGATAATCATCCGTTAAGTGACATTTGAAAAGTCAAAAAAGCCCTTCAAATTCCATTTAATTCTCTTTATCAATCATCCAAACATTGATAAAAAACTGAGCAGTCCCAAATCCTAGTCCCGTCTATTCAAAAAAGTTGGCAACTGTTTAGAAGAATCTAGGATTTGGGATTGTTAAGTTTTTTGTCAATGTTTGGATGGTTGATAAAGAAAATTAAATGGCATACGAAAGGCATTTTTGACTTTTCAAATGTCACATAACAGATGATTAACGACAGGTACTGAATTATCACATTTTAAAGTTTGGGGACCAAAGTGTCACTTGAGCTAAAGTACAGGATACTGATCGGGAATTCTGCCTTATTATTATTTATATTCATTTACATACATGCTTGCTACCTTTCTTCAATCATTTTTCACAAGGAAAATGACCTATGATGCCGGAAAGAAATCATACCAGAAAGGTTTTGATCAATCACAACCCTTAGTGAATTTTGGTTTAAACCCACCTGATTTTCCTACTTTATGATACTGGTTGATTGGTTGTAAGTTTTTCCGGTATCAAATAATTCTGGCATCATAGTTGAACCCTATTTCACATTTTATCTAATTCACATTCTTCTCCACTTTGCAATTCGAACCTAATTCCGTCTACTCCAATTTGCAATTCACACATGCTCAAATTTGCACTTTGCATTATCCTACATGAATCCATGATTTGCATCCTTGGTGGGATATGCCTTTATGCTACCACAGTTTTGTTTGCGTAAAATGGTGCTGTCCATGGATGTGCCCAGGGTGCTGTCATAAATAACTCTGCGATGAACCGTCCACTTGGAGTGGGAAGCCATGCAAGCATTGAGTGCTTATTGAGTGTGCTCACTAAATGTGCTTACATGATCCCTACTCGTCTTGAAGTTTAGAGACTTAATCCTTTAATGAATAAGGATTAATGCAGTAACTGGCTCAATGAAGAAAAGATAATTAGAAACCAATTTGGGAAAGATCATTAATTCCCCATTAATTTCCAACTTTTTTTTTCCAAATCACTCATAGGCATCTCCTATAGATAGTCGTATGCAACCGAGCTCCCTCTGTCCACAGGCTGTTCTCCAATAGCTATTCATCTATCCCTTTATGTGTCTTCTTAGGTTTTGTGTTCGTCAGTTTGTCAGACAAGAACTAATAGTTGGATCTATTTGAATTACTGCTTCAAATCAGTTTCAGGGCACTGAAAGGAGACAATGGAGGGTGCTACTGATGGAGGAAAAAATCTGCTTCTATTCCTGTTTTGCCTTCTTCTTCTTCTTCTTACAGGTTTGTTAATATCACTATATATAAATCTTGCCAAGTACGTAGCTTAGCTTCTCTGCAAATATAGAATTGCAGTTGTTTTTGAATTAATGGGTGACTAGGTCTTGATATGCTACGTAAGAAAGAAATGCTAACACCATCCGTCACCACTCCGCATGAATGCATTCATGAAATGGGCCCCCAAAATCACTACTGATCAGATGGTTCTAACTGTCCGATTGGCATTCTTCTTTTCCAATTTGTCCTCGCACTCGCATCAGCCAGCTCTTAAGATCTGATTTGAGCCACAACTTATCCAACCCCAAGTGGTGGATCTGGGTCTTCTACTAACAAACCAGGCTAGGCATGTCATAGATTTCTGCCACATCTACCCATAAGACATGTATATCAGCCACACATCAGGAATATTTCTGTAATTGTATATTATCATTCTTGGAAAAATGTTCTTGATGAAGTATATTGTCATTATTGTGAGTAGTTTTCTTGTAGGCAGCAAACTGGAGTCCCTTGTCACCCACTAATGAAACATAAGAGTTCACATTGACGCCCTACATGTACATCTCAACATGTATTGGAAACTTCTCCTGTACTTGTCATTGGGAGATGTTCCTAGTGCACGGTTGGGATGTGCTGTGGGGCGCACTCTTTGGTCACTGATGTGAATTCCCCTACATGCCAACAATGGAAATCAAAAAAGCAAATCACTTGATGTTTTTATGGCTGCCCTGTCCATGTTTCATTTGGGAGTGGCAAGGGAGTGTTGCTTCAGCAGTAGCAGCAGCAGCAGATGTTCTCTGGCAGGATCTATTGTTGGAGTTAACATCCGTACCCCATACAGTATGCTGTGGGGTGCTGATATGATCTCTAAGTGGGTTCAGATCTGCTGCTCATGGGACATTACAGTTGTGCATTGGGAATATCTCCCTTATCATTCATGGGGAGATGTTTCTAATACATGGTTCAGAGATGTGAGAACAATTTATGAGTAGCAAATCCGGAGTGATCCTAAGTAGCCTAGATCCAGCCTCTTTGAGCCAGGATAAGGCCTTTTATGCAGGCAAAAACAAAAATGGACTGGGCCTTACATGAGAGAAAAACAAACTGGATAGGTCCAGTGTCGTTGACCTAGAATAGACATACAGGCTCAAACAAAGTGGGCCGGTGGGCCGACTCTTACATGCAAAAAATAATGCATTTGATCTAAGCCTTCCAAGTTCCAATAACCCATATTTCTCCTCAATCCCATCAATTTACAGAGAAGTGTAGCTCCTTTCTTTCACCATCCAGACCTAGGTTACGTTAGTTGAAATTCATCTTTTGTACTTACTGCATATACTGTTTCTTTGTGGTTACAGGGTCCATTGCAGAAGGTTTATCCTATGACTATTCGGCAAGCATTGAGGCATGCTTTTTGTAACATGAATTCACAGGCATTTTGTTTTGCAAACAATTAATGTTTTCTAATATTTGTTTCCTTTCATCTTTTATCCAAAATTTTCAGTGTCTAGTAGAACCTCACAGACCTCAATACGAAGGAGGTATCATTGTTAACCCAGAGTTCAATCATGGTTTGAGAGGATGGTCTATCTTTGGGAGTGCAAAGATTGAACAAAGAGTGTCAGAAGGAGGCAACAGCTTCATCGTCGCTCATAGCAGGAAACAACCACATGATAGTATCTCACAGAAGTTTTACTTGCGCAAGGGGAATCTTTACACCTTATCTGGTAATGTTTGATAAAATGACAGAGCCCAATAAAAACAAACACTGAAAAAGGGTTTGTATCTAATGAAAAACATTGTACATGTATTTGCTTGTTTTCTTATATTAGCATGGATACAAGTGAGTCAAGGAAAAGTACCAGTGAGAGCTGTTTTCAAAACAAAAACTGGTTATAAACATGCTGGTGCAGTCATAACCGAGTCTGGCTGCTGGTCCATGCTTAAAGGTGGCCTAACTGCTAACTCTTCAGGCCCGGCTGAACTCTATTTTGAGGTACTTTTGTCAGTTCTTTATATGGACATAAGACTGATCAGATCAGCTCTGGTTCTGATTAATTGTTTTCTTTTTGGTCAAGTTGAATGTTACTAATTTATCATAGTTTTGTTTACGAGTTGAATGAAATGAACGAGTCTTTCCTGTTTCCTTTCTATGATCAAATCTTTAGTCTAAAATTTCTTACAATTTCCCATATCTCGTCTTCAGAGCGAAAACAAAACGGTGGATATATGGGTAGACAGTGTCTCGTTACAACCATTTACCATTGAGCAGTGGAGAGCTCACCAAGAGCAAAGCATTGAGAAGGTAAAAGAGTTGTCAAAACAAATAAAACAGGTTAATTTCTCTGGGGTATTTGCTATGTTGTATTATAATTCTGATGAATTGATTCATGTTGCAGACACGTAAAAGGAAGGTGAAATTTCAAGCGGTTGACTCATCTGGAAAAACCTTAACCGGTGCCCAAATCTCCATTCATCTGAAAAAGCCAAGCTTCCCATTTGGTGCTGCCATTGCTCAGACTATCCTCCACAATCCTACGTATCAGAAATGGTTCACGTCCAGGTTCACGGTGACCACCTTCGAAAACGAGATGAAGTGGTACAGCACAGAGAACTCTCCCGGCAAGGAAAACTACTCGGTAGCTGATGCCATGCTCCAATTTACCAGAAAGAACGGAATCAGAGTGCGAGGCCACAATGTCTTCTGGGATGATCCCAAATATCAACCATGGTGGGTACCCAAGCTATCGTATAGCCAACTCAATCAGGCCGCATGGAAGAGGATCAACTCCATTATGTCAAGATACAAAGGGCAGGTTATTGCATGGGATGTTGTTAATGAGAACCTCCATTTTTCCTTCTTCGAGGATAGGTTGGGTCGGAACGCATCAGCAGCTTTCTATAAGAAGGCACACCAGCTCGATGACAGAGCAATCATGTTTTTGAATGAGTACAATACAATAGAAGACAGCAGGGACGGGACGTCGTCACCCGCCAAGTACATTCAGAAACTGAAGGAAATTCAGTCCTACGCAGGGGGAAGGATCCCACTAGGAATCGGGCTCCAGGGCCATTTCAATACCCCAGATATTGCTTACATGAGATCTGCTCTTGATACTCTTGCCGCTACAAAGCTGCCCATTTGGATCACAGAGTTGGATGTGGAGGGCGGCCCAAATCAGGTAATGTTGATGAATGTAAGATTGCAGAAAAGCATTCATGAGGATGTGTCTGTGTCTGTGCTTGTGTGTTTGTGGGACATACCAAGGTAAGGCAAGACCACAGTTCTAATTTCTAAATGATACGAGCTAATCAAAGATTTGGGTTGTCCGTGCAGGCAAAATACTTGGAAGAAATCCTGAGAGAGGCACACTCTCACCCTGCCATAAAGGGGATCGTCATCTGGGGGGCATGGCCGTACCCAGAGCAGTGTCGCCGAATGTGTTTGACGGATAACAATTTTAAAAATCTTCCCACAGGCAATGTTGTGGACAAGCTGATAGGTGAGTGGACTCATGCATCCTTGGCCGGCTTGACGGACAGCAATGGCTACTTCGAGACCTCGCTCTTCCATGGGGATTATGTTGTAACTATTACTCATCCCTCCATGAATTCCTCTTTGGTTCAAAGCTTCAAGGTGACAACTCCTGGAGTTTCTCAAGAAACAATGCTCGACGTTAAAATCTAGGCATAACGAAACATTCTTAAACTGGCCAGTAGGTCCTGTTATTCTTTTGATTCAATAGGAATAAAAAAAAATGTTTGACAAATTTTGCAGTTACAATAAAATATTATAATGTTTTCAAAGTCCAAACTCCCTCTTCTTCATGTCAATTGACCAAACTTTGCCAATTCGCAAACCTTTGTTTTGCCTCGATCTCGCCTGAGTTGTTCATTAAGGCTTAGTTTGGAAGGAATACAAATGCAAATGTGTAGAGTGCATAACCTTATATTTTGTATTATTTTGCATGTATTTGCATTGTACATATTTGCATTTGTACTCTTTTCAAACTAACCCAATGGACAGAGAGATTTCAATCTGACACAATTTTAAATCAAAACTTACCGATGCAATATTACTGTTCAATACCAAGAATTTTAGATCAATACCCTGTTCAAGGATAGACGGAATTATCTAAAATCTCCCTTGGCTTTGCTGCTAATGCCTAAAACTACCCCTGACTATAGAGAATAAGAGAACTATAGAGACGCCCCCATCCCATCAAATGACAGCGCAAAGAATGCAAAATCACTACTCATCATCCATTATCCATTACTCTACTCTTCATATATTGTTGTTAATACCTAAAATACCCCCTTAATAAAAAGTTGTTCCACAAATGAAAAATTCCACCAACCTGTAAGGTGAAAAACCAGCTTAAGCTATCAAATTTTATGAAAATAAGGATATATAAATAAGCCAATGAATCAATAGCTGAGATAGTCACTCAGCGTCCCCAAATATAGAGGTGCTTGATCAAACACCAAACACTTGGTATTGATCCCATAGAAAAGAGGGTTATAAACTTATAATGGCACCTTTTTGTGTATGCGTATGTGTGTGGAGTAGAGCTATAATCGAGTTGGATTCTATCCAGCCACGTTTGAGTCTGGTCCAATTATCAAAAACTCAACTCCAAATTCAATGAACGGATCCAAAGAGTCTCAAATTGGATTGGAATCCTGTCAGATTTTTTTTATTTAATCCAAGTTAGTTGTACCATCTTTAAAACAAATAAAAATTAGAAACATATAAATATATTAATTATTCTTTGACTTTATAGAATAAATCATATAAATATAAAATAAATAAGCCATAACTCGGGTCTTGACTCTTGATCAAATATTTTTTAAAAGCTCAATCACTTGATAATATTAATAGATCCGAATCTGCTGACCACAACACATTACTGGCCACATTCATCCAGCCGCACATCGGGAAATATATGAGATGTTCCTAATGTGCGACTAGGTGAAATGAGCATTCCCAGTTGTCCTCTGTTGGAGAATATTAAGACCAAACTAAATAAGTGGAAAACGTAGGCCCTTAGTCAGGCAGGAAAGCGGATTCTTATTCAACCTGTCCTTCAATCAATCCCAATCCATGCCATGAGTGTGGCCAAATTTCCCAAGAAGACCACTAATGAGATCGATAAACTAATGAGAGATTTTTGGTGGTCTAGATCCAAATCTAATCCTCACCCCTTTTGTTGGTGTGCTCGGGACAAACTATCTCAACCAAGAAACATGAGAGGGCTAGGACTCAGGAGAATCAAACTGGTTAATCAAGCTCTCCTCAAGAAACTTGCTTGGAGATATCTCAATGAGCAACACAAGTTTGGGCTCAAATATGGAAGTCAAGATATTTGAAGAATAATAATCTCTTCCCATACTCCATTAGCTCGTCTAGCTCGTTTTTCTGGAACTCCACTGCCCCAAGTCCCCTGGATTCAAACTAGGAATAGGTTTCAAATGCTAGAGCAGCCTTCCCCATCAGGTATTCGAAATCTGTCAGTCTCAGATGTGATTTCTCAGGGTTCTTGCAATGCAACTCTTTACTTCCATTTTGCCATAAGAGGAAAACTCAAAGTATTGGGTGTAGACACCTCCTTCAGGAATTTTTTCCACAAAACAGGCCTACTCTTTCCTTCCCAAAGAGCGCCAAATGATAATTTTAAACTTTGTCTTAAATGGATATGGAATCTCCCGATAGCTCCTCACTACCAAATGTTCATATGGAGGATAAATCAAAATTTCCTCCCAGTCAGGGATCATGTGTTGGACTCTTCTTAGGATCGAAGATGTGTGGTCTATAACAATGAGGTGGAAACAATCAAGCATTTGTTCTTGGATTGTCCTCAAACACAGGTTGTGCTTTTTGCAGCTCCCTAGAACTTAAATATAAATGCTATCTTCAATCCTCTTGGCTAAATTGCATGTGAGTTAATCAGAACTCTCCCAGATAAAATGATAATAACTCAAGTCCTACGCCGGTAATCGGTATACCATAGCCTTGTATTATATCTGGTTTGCCCAAAATGAAAAGTGCTTCAAAGACAGGCAAATCCCCACCCAATGGTTGATTGCACGTATTAACAATTTATTTACTCAGACTGTGTTCCCAGAAGAGACAACTTCAATCTCAACTGCCTCTAGGAGCAAATTCTCCCTCACAATCCAGATGATGAAAGTCAACCTCCTAATATGCTCGGATTCCCAACAAGTGATCAAGGCTTTGCAGAACAAAGCATCTCTCCATTGGTCGTGCCATGGGCTTTTGTCGACGACCAAGCAAATAACTAGCCTCTTGTCTTTCCATGGTGTTTTATCATATACATAGAAACTTTAATACCTCGGCTCACAATGTGGCTCAGATAGCCAAAACTTACTCCCAGAACTCCTTTTCTTTTGATAATTACCCGGATGGGGTACCAGATGTAATGAACTTTATTATTTCTATTCTTAGTTAATATAGTTCTTTTATCTTTCAAAAAAAAAAAAAAAAAACTCATATTAACCATACTAGTGAAAAGACTCCTATAACAGCGTGTTCACAAGAAAATTGGGAGTAGTGGATGACAAAGTGGTTTCATTACAACTAATAGCAAATTTAGCAACAGTGTGAGTAGCATCTTAGCACTTACCAAACATCAGTAACTGAGTATGAAGTAAGCCATTAAACTCCTTCGGCTTGCAACAATCGAATGAATGCTCCACAGTGATTCAATCCACCGATTATTAAGCAGATGCACTTTTTAAAATTCAAATCCTATTCACTTATGTAAACGGGTCATCTGAATCTGGACCACTAGACAGTTTCTAGTTCTTTATTAACTCAAAAATTTTAAAGATGTTTCTCTTTTCAGCTCAAAGTAGAAATCCATTTTATAGGCAAAGAGCAAATATTAAACAACAAACAAATCAGCTTCCTAAGTTTTAAGCATGATAGTTAAGGAGAATTTGATGAAACGTCCTAACTTCCAAAGTCATTGGATAGATTCACTAAAATAAAAATGAATAACAACATTAATAACAATGGCCATCCACTGGGTGGTGGTGCTCAAGAGGTAAAGGACAGAGCAGTACAATTACTTTGATCGAAGCCCACTGTAGGGTCCCAGACACATCTTTTCTGTTGGACTAAATAATTCTGATTTTAGTCTGTCCAGTACTTAATTAATGCCTTACATTAGGTAATGCAAAGAGCACGCTAACGTGATTCTGCCTTCCCTATTTCAAGACTTTTTTCAGCATGGACACGGATCAGTGAATGGAGACAGTGGCAACTGTTACTTTAAACCACCAACATTACAGTAACTTGGTTTTGAGAGCAAAACTAATCAACTAATCTTATCATAGTAGTACTCTGTTATCTCTATTATCACAACTTGCCACGAATATGGCAGACACAGTTCATGTAGAATTGTAGACTGGATTCACAATCAGAAATTTTTATCATTAAATAAGATGTTCTAGTAAAAAGAAGATACAACACCAAGCACCCCTTCTAGGAAGACAATGATCCCATCTCCCTGAAAGAATTACTAATTTTCCATAGACCCAAGGAACTACCAGCACCATCCAATAAAAGTCTGAGAGTTGCACTCCATGAAATCATCTCAATATCCATAACCATAAAGACAAAGATAAGGCTTTGGAGGAGTAAATGAAGCTCAGCGTCAACAGGTCCCAATGGCTGTAAACAAAATTCCAGTATTGGTATTTTAACAAAAAAAAGGTTGAAATAGTTTCACTTCTTGAGACCCTAAAATGCCTTCATTTCTATTTTATCAGCATCACTGTAATACAGAAAGTTTAGATCATGAGTTCATCTCCCAAATATTAGGAGGAAATGAAATAATTTCACTCAATATGGTTTCCAGAAACCCCAACTAACTAATATGCAACTTGGCAGAGAAAAACAAGCTATTAACTTGCATACCCTCCCCCCAAGGGGGAGGGGCAGTAGTGCCTGGTTACAAAAGGTTTTTGATAATGGTTTTGGATTTTTAGGATTGCATATACAAGGGTAACCAATGAAAATTGCTATCCAGTCACAAATCAATGATATGGTCTACAATTAGCGTTGAGACTCCATGTCAGAGGCTAACTTTAGTGATAAATAGCCCAAGGGCATGGAATTCTTCTGCAATTACCTTTGAATCATGCAGGTTTGGTATTTCCCGTATTTGATTGGATTATAGACATGTCAGTTAGATCCTTGTCCACCTGATTTAATTTCATTTTTCCAATTTTCAACTTTTTTTGATGGATTTTTCAAATTTCTACTTTTACATAACAAGAGGGCAACAAGTTGAGAGCTGCATTTTTTTTTCAAAAGTAAAAAAGATGAAATTTTTTATTCAATTTGGTCTTACATTACTTAAGTAGGAAACAGGAAGATCCAACGGGGTAATTGCAAAATTACTAAGATATCACGAAGAACCAACAAATTGTGGATGAAGAGGGCACATTGTATAAAAAGAAAAGTTATTACAGGAAACAATCAACTTAATGGCATCAAATTCTGAAGTTTCACATGGCAAATTTAGCTGGCTTCTTTCAAAAAGACTGGATGAGTGCAAACAAACTACCCTTCTTCTTTTATCAATAGCATAAGAAAGCAGATAGTACATTATGAAAATATACAAAAATCTTTTCCTTTATACGAGAGTAAATTCTCCTTAGTCCCTATTTGTATCAACTAAAATGCCCTTGTTTTCTGTTAATGACAGCAATATTTAGATGAAAGAATAGGATTCAGTTAAACATGCATGCTTGAATGCTGCACTTTATTTCTTTTTGAACACCAAGGATAAGTATATTGTTTTGTTTTTCTTGTCCCCCCTCCCTTTCATTTAATGTATAAAATTTACAGCACACTAAAAACTCAGAAATTTTTCAACTGCAGAGGCATAGAAAATGGTTTTATAAACTAAATAGAGTGGACTGGAGCATATACCTGCCATAAACAAGAAAAATAATGAAATGTTATCCCAAATTGTCGTCTGAAACCTTGATATTCTTTGCATGCCATGCATTTAATCATGCCTCCTGAAGGACCAACAGCATCCACGGCCCTGATAAATGCCTTCTAACCAATGAGGACCTATCACAATAAACTTCATGATCAGATTCATCTAAATGTATCAAACAAGCGATCTTCATTACCTCAAAATATATTACAGAAAGAACATATAAAAGGTTATTCTGATTTCAACATTGCTATATGTCCAAAACACATTCTCTTTTCTTGTTTTTTATAGCATTCTCTTTTTTATGGTCAAGATGCAAAAAAAGAAAAAGAAAAACAAGAGTAAATGACAATGGAAAAAACTTAAAATTTTGTTCAACTTAGATCCACTACTTATAAGAGTACTACAGATTCTCTCAAGAGGCTATGAAGATATAGAAAACCAAAATAAATATGTAGAAGTGAAAGTTCACAATGAAAATTTATACAAGATTCACAATAAATGAATGTTAGGGAAATTCAATTTGAAGGCATCCTTAGCTGGCTTCCCACAAAAGGATGAAAAAACATTTGTGAGAGAAATCAACAAATTTTTTTTTAAAAAAAGAAAAGATTTTAGAGGAGTTTTAACGTCACATGCATACTACAAATTTTCTCTTTCCATAAACTATAAAATATGTGCCTGGATCCATGATTCTTGGAACATAGAAGATTGGAGTGTAGTCCATGACTTGGTTGCTCGCACATCATTAGACAGATATGTTCGTTCTCGAGGAACGATGGCTTGTTGTAATGAAGATACGAGTCCAGTCCATTTTACTTCTGGCCAGACAGAAGTCCCTTGCAAGCAAGCTTCTGTTGGCATTCTAGGTGCAACCTTTGGCTTCCAGAAGTGGACGTGGCAAAAGATCAAATCAGGTATTTTAATCCAAATCCAAAGCTTTTCCAAATAATTATCTAAAGTGGGGTTTCCATAGGTAACCAATGTGGTTGCTTCACTTTTACTCTGAGGCAACCCAGTACTTGAAGGAGATACTTAGTGAGGGGTACCATCATCCAGCTGTACAAGGGATCATTATCATCATCATTTGGTCATGCCTGCAGATTGATGGTTGCAAGGGTGTATCTAAAAGATAACAATTACAAAAATATGCCAAGAGAAGATGTTGTGGATAAGCCAGTTGATAAGTGGAAAACTGTAGTATTGATTACTACAACAGGCAGAAGCAGGTCGAGATATATTGACTGATTAAACTAAGCTTGCAAATGGCAAAGGACACAGCGAAAGAAACAAACCATGTTTTAATTGATGCTTGAGATATATTGCCAGTCTAACCAAATAAATAAATAAAAGTAAATTGGAGCTGGCTCCTTAAGAGCCACAAGCACAAAGCCGCATAGTCTTTTTTTTTATCAATAAAGCCGCATAGTCTTTTGTAATCTCATTTAAAGCATTTCTCATTCCATCACTTGAAAAATGAAACGTCCTTCAACTGTTGTACTGTTGTCAATGTTTGTGGGACATCTGATGTTGTTTGTGTGGGGAAGGCAGTCTTCTTTGTCCTCCATGTGTATGTATTTCTTCAGAATTAATATTACATTACCTTTTGTCAAAAAAAAAAAAAGAACACCATCTCTCAAATTAATCAAGCTCAACTGTTTCTGGCACAAGAAGTAACAGGAAGCAAAATGGGAAATATGCTTTTCAATAATGGATGCAATCAAGCAAATCTGCACTTGTTCTTTATATATACCATATTTATATGAATTTGAAACAAAACAAACATGTAACATGCAAATTAAAAGACAGTAAGAAACTCTAACTTGTTGCTAATCAAAAAGAAAACTCTGATTTTATCTCCAGATGACAAGTTCCTTTTGCTTTTAATGGAGATAGATAACAAGGAATAAAAAGGGCAGCCCAGTGCACAAGGCTCCCACTAATGTGGGGTCTGGAGAGGGACAGATGTACGCAGCCTTACCCCTGCACATAGATAGATAACAAGGAATATGCCATCAAAAAGGTGAAAGATGGAGAAGATAAACCTGAAACCTTGTAATGGCCAACAAGCACCAAGAAAAGGATGGAAAGGAAAAACCATTGTATAAGAGTATTCCCTTAGAAACCTTTCCTTGCCATTGCACTAGCCAGCACAGAATCCATGACATTGAGGTGATCATTTCAGAGCAGAAACCGAGTTGTATGAAAAAGCAGAAAAGCCATGGAGCAATTGTTGGAAACTCAACTGAAAGCATTCTTTGGTTCCTCTCATCTCCAGAAAACAAGTTTTACTGCCTTTAAAAAAAAAATCTGCTATAACTTGCATGATATTGTGTTTGCGTTGATATTAGATTCATTTGTATATAAATCCAATCATGACCATGTTGAATATGCAGCACGTTCATCACCATAGGTTCTGCCTTCCTTATTCAGTCTCATCAGACATAGTTTTGGGCTTTAAGCAATACCATATGTTTCATCTATCACCAATGCATGGTAAGTATGATGCTATCGGTATGGGATATGGAGTCAGGATAGTGTTATTCTTAACATTCAGAACTTGTGCTAGTAGGGAATTGATCATGTATCATGATAAGAATAGGCCTTTTCAGTATTGAGAGCTTCTTTCCATCTATCACTTCTGAACTTTCACCCTCTTACAGGATCCTATGTTGGCCTTCTCTGATTTTGTTATTGGGGGCCATCTATCTATCTGTTCTGGATATAATAATGGAAAAAGAACCATAAATAGGCTTGGTTCACCATCCATGTATAATAATTGTTTTAGAGAAATCAAGAAAGTATACCACATAATTAAAAAATAAAGCACTCAAAATAGGAAACTATGGGGATGTATATACAGAAAATGTTACCCAAACAAGTTCTACTAATTTTCTTTCATATTGGAAGATGAAAAGAATGTATACCTGAACTGCTTCTCTAGTTACATGGCTGACATCTGCTGTCACACGTTGACAAAGATGACCCAGCTTGACACTGGAAAAGAGAACCCTTCAATCCCAGCCTGCTTCATTGGGCAACTTTTGATGTGCCTTTACGCCTCTTAATGAGCCCATCCATCAAAGTGATATAAGTGGATCTATTTACTGTAATACCATTCCGCGTTGATTCTTCCAAAATGCACCTTGCTTCTTTGTATTTCCCTTCATTACACAGGTCATCTATGTGCTTCGAATAATCTTCAGAACTTGAATCAGGATCCTGTGGAATTTCACTAATTACCACCTCTTGCCCCTTCTCTCCTGCAGAAACAACTTTTTCTAATGCAGAGACAGATGATTGATCAGGTAATTTTCCTGTTTCAATCATCTTTGAAAGAAACTCCTTTGCATCTTCAGTTCTGCCAGCCTCTGTAAACCCACATAAAATGGCATTATATGTGAAATGGTCGGGTCCCAATTCCTTCTCTTCCATTTCTGCAAGAAGCTTCAATGCTTGTTCCATTTTCCTCTCTTTGCACATGAACGTTATCAATGTATTGTAGGTGACAGCATCAACAACTTTGCCCTTTAAGATCCACGAATTAAAGAACTTAAGAGCTTTATCTAGCATCTGTTCTTTGCACAGTGCACGAAGAAGAATGTTACATGTAACAATATCCGGCTTGAATGATTCCTCGGCCATTTTGGTGTAGAAATGAAAAGCTTCCTCTACACTTCCTTCCCTGCAATACCCATGAATGATAGTGTTGTAGGTAGTTACATCAGGAACCAACCCACTCTCTATAAGCTCATTCAACTTGGCTAGTGCTTGCTCAGTCTTTCCGAATTTGCAAAGGCCTCCGATAACTGAATTATAGGTAACAACACTAGGAAGGATCTCTTTTTCCTTCATCTCATCCCAAAGCTTCAAAGCCAAATCAATGTTCTCGTCCTTGAAGCACCCTGTAATTAGAGTGCCATAGCTAACTTCATCAAGAGTGTATCCTCTTCTGACTGCACTTTCAAGTAACTCGTACGCCTTGCTTAGCTTATTCTCCTTACAGAGGTTGTGCAGAACAGTATTTAGGGTAACAGTATCCATCTTCAAACCTTTCCGAGCCATCTCATCCATCATCATGTAGGCTTCCCTCATATTACCGGCTTTGCAGTAGCCATGGATCAAAGTATTGTAAGTAACACAATCTGGGGAAAACCCATTTTGCTCCATTTTTCGAATGGTGTTGCTTGCTTCTTCCATGGCCCCTTCTTTACACAATCTTTTGAGCATTATATTATAGGTGATAGCATTTTGCTTCACCCCTTTCTCACTCATTTCCTCGAGCAACTTGTATGCCTCAGAACTGTTTCTCCACTCAAAACACCCATTAATCAAAGTGTTGTAAGTAACGACGTCTGGCAGCAACCTCAAATTCTCCATCTTATCCTTAAGCTTAAAAGCTTCTTCGATCTTACCTTCCTTGCAGAACCCACTAATCAGCATGTTATAAGTCCAAACATCTGGCAGAAATTTGCTCTGGGTCATCAATTCAAACGCTTTTACTGCGTCCTTCAACCATCCCAACCTACAATATGCGCACACCAAGGTATTGTATGTATTCCTATCGGGCGAGAGTCCTCTATCCTTCATATCAGAAAGCAAATCTCGGGCCTCGTTCAAGAGACCCCTCTTGCAGAATGCATCTAAAATGGTGTTATATGTAATATTATCGGGAAAGCAATTGAACTGGACCGTCATCCGATTAAACAACTCCATTGCATCTTTAAACCTAAATTGCGAGCAATAGCCATATATCATAATGTTAAAAGTCTTGGTATTTGGGGTAACCCCTAGCCTGATGGCGTCATTAAAAATCTCCTGGGACATAGGAATTGAATGGGAAGATGGGTATCTTACCAAGGAATTGAGGAGAGTATTGCAGGTGAGGAGGGAGGGCCGGAGGTGGAGACGCTTCATCTTCTTGAAAATCTGAACGGCAAGGTGGACCTTCTGCGATTGAACGTAAGCACCAACAGCGGTGTCAAGAAGAGCTTTGGTAGGGGGAGGGAAGGAGCGAGGAGGGTGGAGGAGGGAGTGGTGGAGCTGGTGGAAGCGGTCGGAAGCGATGAAAGAGAGGAGGAGGGACTTGGCGTCAGAAAACTTGTTGTGGTGGAAGAGAGAAGGAAGGAGTTTGAGGAGGGAATGGAGGGAGTTGGACTGGTGGGAGAAGTTGGGAATGTGAGAATGGCACCATTTGAAGAATGATAAGAGAGTACTTGGACGGGAATAAAGAGAAGCGGACGAGAGGATGGATGAGATTAGAGATGGAGTGAGGTGGGGGATGTATGGGTAAAGGGATTGGAGGGAAGCTTGAGAGGAAGTGAGAATGTTGGTAACGTTTTCGATAACTTCAGATTCAGTTGGCGGCGACGGCGGTGGTTTTGGTGGTGACGACGCCGTCTCCATGCTACTGCTACTTACTGGAAATTGAACTCCTGAAATGCTTTCTCGGCCTTCAGAGTTCCGAATTAGACCCTTATATGATGACGGAACAGTTTCTTCTTTAAAATATTCTAATTTTCCATTCTAATGAAAAGGCGTTTGTAGTCCAACGGTTAGGATAATTGCCTTCCAAGCAATAGACCCGGGTTCGACTCCCGGCAAACGCATCATTTTCTAGTTTTGATCGGCTTGCGTAAAAGAAAAGGGAATTATTTTTGTAAACGCTTCAGGAAATGAATTCTTCCTCCGACCAAACAAACATCCCCCAAGTTTGTGATATTTGGGACTTGGGAGGTCGGCCTCGGCCAGCCCAAAATCCAAAAGCTACGTTGTAATTATTGGGTCAATCATGAAACACATCATGCCCATACGCGAGAATCCCACATGTCAAGCTGACGTGATTGGGGGATTGTTGGTTCTATATGCAGAGGATTCAGTGTTTAGGCACTGTTTGGTTGGTTAGAATTGGAATTCTATTCTCATTTTTGTTGGAATGGCATTCCCTCACTTGAAGGAATGACCTTTTCTTTGGGAATGAAATCTCATTCCTGTTGATTTTAATTCTCATTTTCATTCCTATTTGAACCAAACAGACTATGGGAATGGACCATTCCAATTCCAATTCTGGATAATATCTGATTCCGATTCCAACTACAAACCAAACGGATCCACTGTTCTCCATGGTATTTTTAACACTGGTTGGTTACACAGAGAGGCCATACAACGTTACTACATCATCTTCATGGTCATCAGCTCATAGTTGTCATAGTGGTAATGCTATTATCTGAATAAAGAAAGCCAGATCTAAAGTTTTCTACTAGATTATAATTTTCTCACAGAAATAACTAACTTCAACTGATGAACAAGGAGCTAATAGTACATACGCATATAGTCTTAAAAGGAAATTCTTAAACCTCTTAGCAAGACAACTTTACATTACAACAAGTCGATCTCATATCTCTCATCGTCTCAAACCACCAAAAACAAATACACAAGTACTGCTGAAATTGAACAAAGAAATTATATGAGAAAATCACTCCATCTTCTCCTCCGACGAATAGAACACAACACAATAGTCATGACAGCAGACCTCGCAGCAGAACTTACAGAATCGAAAATGGCATTGAATCGCCTCTCCTGCAGAGCCCAAAGCGTAGAAACAAACATTGCTAATCCATCAAAAATTTCCAGAAGAATCCCCATCTTCGGAGAACCACCTCCACCTCTTTGTCTCTTGTCTCTTGATGAGAAAACGAGCCAAACAAATGAAAAGAAGCGAACAAGAGAAGGATAATCAGATAATGTTTCAGACCTCTCCCTGAAAAGTAGACTCCTTCATACCTTAATATCAAGAAGAAAAGAGAGAAATGCGGTTTCTCGGCCACTCAGCTTCTCGTTCCAAATGGAGGCGAATGAGAAGCGAAGAACATATAAATATAATGGGGGTGGGGGGGCCATGATGTGGATTAGCTTTGCAACCAGAGGAATTTTGTGGGTTGTTTCCTCGATGCTTCTTCCTCCCACATTCAGTAAATGAATTTTATGTCCTTTTGCTCCGTGCTATCTATGCTAATAATTAATGATTGATTGATGGTAGAGTTGCGAACATGATATCGTGGGTCCTATTTTTTCATTAGATGCGCCCTTTGGAACGCCTCGGAGAGTCGGAGTAGATTTTTTAAAAATTCCTTCTTTTCATGGGGCTCTATATGCAAATTGGTGGATGGGTTTTATTTTCTTCTTTGAGGCCATAANCCCCCCCCCCGATGACTAGCTGTTGTACCAAGGACCAACTAACCAATAGCTTTGGTGACCAGCATCCCTTAGAATATGGAGGCAGGATAAAGCTCATAAAATGCAAGCTCTATGTGGTAAGGTCAGTGGACTTCATTTGCACCCTGTTCTTAATCCTCATGTAATGTATAATTTATAACACCAAAATCGATTACAAAAAGCAAAAGAATAATTGTTGCTAGGGGTGAGCCACTTGACAAGCTTATCGTTAAGCCATTTGGTGTTTCCAAGGCAATGGATATATCATATATGAACAACCAACAGTTAATTTTGACAAAGATGCATATGTTCATCAATATGTACCATTTTGCTTTCTGAAAAAAAAATCAAGAGCTACATTAACAAAATGACTATTACTTTGTTCTTTAGTGAATAAGTCATTAAGCAAGTTGTGAGCTCCTCATTCCTGAATAGCACGTTTCATTGATTACTCTACCCGTCTATCTTATTATATGATTAATTTATCTACAAAAACACAAAGCAATATGTCACTTGGTTGACTTTAGCAGGTGATTATGGGTTGTACCGGGCTTTTATGTGGCATTCAATATCTGTATAAAGTTTAAATTATCTAATAAATCCTTTTTCACCATTGACCATTCCATTCTATTTGAATGACATATTCATGTTAAATTATGAGCACTTAAATCATTTCTTACTCCTTGACATCATGTCCTTCTGACCCCTTCAACTTTCAATAGATCACTTTTTAAGGGTGTTCCAATGGTCTTCTATGTACATGACCAACTATTATTTTCACATTTTATCATCTATTAAAGCTATTCCTAAATTCATTTGGATGAATATACACACATAATATATACATGCATCGTGGGCAGGCCCGGCTAGAAATGATTTACACCTAAGTCGTAATCAAAACACCCTGTCAGATAACAATCAAGGGTGCGCCCAAACCCACTCTGGGTAATACATGATGTAGCAAATATATACTACAAAGTCTACAATCAATACTACACCACCAAAAGCAGCAAATCCATAGCTTTGGCTCTCAAACATGATAGGTGGTACCTTAGATTCAGGGCTTGCCTAGTTGCCTAGCCATCAAAAAATAACAATAATGATAATAATAAAGAGACACAGCTTACCTTTCATATAATGTCCATTGTCCAGTTTCCCCGTAGCATATATTAAGACAATTCCGCTCCACCTAGCTTTTTGGTCTGTACGTCATCCACTCAATCCTTATGAAGTGACCATGCTAATCCTATCCATCAGGGAATTCCGTGCACTGGGTTGAAACTTTAAAGTAGTTAATGTCAAGCACAGATGTTCTGGACAATTGTAGCTTTTGTGTGATTAGGGCATTTTTCTGTTAAGATTTGACAATGCCATCGCCTGCAACCTGCTGCAATTATTGAAAGAATCTCCTTAGCAAGAGGCAGATAGTGAAATATAGTTACTATAAAGTATAAACTGCTTCAGATTAATACTCAACCCCAACCCCCCCCCCCACAGGCGTGGAACCTCATCATTGGTTCCACAGCCTGCTGAACAGCTAAAGCGTTCAGCTAATCCAAATTCCCCAATGACCATTACCTTTTCTTTTATTTTTCTGCTAAAAAATGGTACTGGACGATTGAAAGGCAAATATAAAAAATCAAACTGAGTTTACATTTCCGAGCATGCCAATTGAAATTATGTGTCTGATGCATGGATTCATTGATGATCAATGTGAGTGCAATTATTGGGGAGCATGCATGATTAATCCAAGAGGTTGAGCATGGATTAGATGGTTTGTGTTAGGTTTTCCTAACTAGCAAGGCCAAGAACCAGCTGCAACCAACAAGCTCCCAACAATAGACCAGTGCCCAACATTGCAATCAAGCATGGAACTAAATTGCTACACAGTCCTGATTTTACGAACAAACCTAGAAATTTACCCTCATTTCTCTAGCAACAGAAGGCAGCCATTTCTCCCCCCTAATTCTTTTCAGTTCAGCAACTCTTTCTTCCTCTCGTTTGGCTGCTTCTTTGGTTGCATCAACTTTAGCTTCAAATCTAGATAATGCTTTCTGAGATGCCTCTCTTGCTGCAGCCATTATATCTATACCATCAACAGCAACAGACTGAATTTGGCGCCTGAACTGGAAACCACAGATCAATGGAGTTAGGTTTGGCAGAATCAAATCAAATTAGTGGAGGGGAAGTAGAGTTGCAGAAAAGATTTAAGAAGATAGGAATGAAACCTTCTTTGATTTCTCATCAAACAATTCTCCAGGAAGAATCCTTGGCTTCTTTCTTGGTTGTTGAAATTCATCTGGCAACAGCACATAGCACACAGTTGCACTTGTTTATAATTTATTAATGAAGGTTGAAGAAATGAATGATGGTGCATGGACCCAACAAGGTAGTACTTAGTGCCGCAGACCATACCATGGATCACCAACTAATCAACCTTGATCCATCGGGTGATAACAGATAACCCCAACCAATCTAACAGGAGGTTTTTATTCGTTTAGTCAAAGGTCACAATTGGGTTGCTAAAGTAAAAGTTGTTGGAGGTTTTGGAAGTTCATATAGCATATAGTCAGGACTACCAGGTGGTCATGATTTTTGAACTGCGTCCCACCAACTGAAATGTCCAGATTGAGTAGGTGAACAACGTTTAAAGTCATAGTAAGAAATTCCACCCAATTCTTGCATGATGCTATGATGAAATGAAATATCTGAATTTGATCAAACACCCATACCAACATGATCAAATACTATCCCAAGGGGTGATTGTCTGAATAGCCGGATTCCACCTTCATCAACCAGGTTATCATCATCCAATACAGGAATAGGACCTCTCACCATCTCCAAGCTCTTTTCTAAGAGGCCTTCTAAAAGCTTCTGTGCCTGTTGCAATGTCCATTAGGGCTTAGGATTACCATATAACACAACAAGCAATAAAAAATTCAGAATCAAAATGAATAGTTTGTGATCTGGAAATAGACTGACTCTCCCCACAATACCCATGCCTTCAAGGAATGTACTGGAATTGACTTGATGAAGCAGGACTACAAGACTTTTGATTGGTAAACAAAAAAGAGGATACTTGAATCAGGACATTTCACCTTTACATAATTGACCTCCATTCAACTGCCCATTTCATGTAAAAACAGACTAGACTACTATTTGGTTAATCCTAGCAAGAGCAGGGATTATAATTCAATCACGTTACACAAAATTACAAAGCATTAATAGGATTCCTTTACCTGCCAAGCAGAATATCAAAAATAAAACTATAGAAGTCCAAACGGATCCAGACATAGGGTTCTTTAAACAACCCAATATGTATCAGGGAATTCCTAGATAGCATCTATCAAACCCCCATTGATTCATGTCATAGATTAATTTGCCAAGAGGTTTACGACACAAATGTATTTGTGCATATCATAAATAAGAGATGACAGCAAAAGGTCAGGACCAACATTGGGCAACAATCCTTTAGCACCAAAAAGAAAACAAAAAACAAAAAATATATATATAAAACACAGTTGCTTTTGTGGTCTTTCTATTGAATATTGATGGGCACTGAAGTTCTTCATTGGCCATTATACATGATGAGCATCTTTGAGTACTTAAAATCAAATTTTTTCATAGATCAAAGAAGGATCAATGTTCCCGTTGTACACAGTTTGCCCAATCATCATTGAATAGAATATTCCTTGCACACACTAAATGCCCGTTTTCATTACCAATACCAACTTAGAATAGCCAACTTGAAAGGTCTTCATTAGATTTCTAAGCATCTTTCCTTTATCAAACTCTTAATTTCAACTTCAAAGAGAAATATGGACAGTTTCTGTCCCCATTTTCATATCCTTATTTGCAGTTTCCTACAACCAACCAAACAAATTTTGATGTTTTTGAAGAAGAAAAGGTCACCTTTCCAGGCAGAAGGAGCAAATATGGAAATGATATATTTGACTGGATAACAGGTAATCCTGCAGTCTCTTATGGCACAAAGTATTTGGGAAGGGGCTCTGAATACTCTAGATTATTTCTCCAAGTTCAAAGCTTTGTATTGGGAATGGTGAACACATTATTCTGGAAGGACACGTGGTGTATACCACGACTATTGAAGTCCTCTTTCGCCATTGCTTACAGATTAGCAGCAAAAAAGAAGCATCCATAAGGGAGAGTTTACGATTCATTTGTCCCATGTTGGTAGTATGGGATGCTAATGTGAGGTATCCCACATCGGTTATATGGGATGCTGTTGTGGAGTATATATGTGTTTGGGTTCCCTCCCTCTAACAACTAGCTTTTAAGGGTGAGTTCTCCTAAGGCACATAACAGTTTGATAGCAGGGGAGGTGGTCAATCATTGGCATTCACTGGTATTTTCTGCCAATGGTGATTGCAAATAAGAGCCCCAAATCCCCAATCATATACGTCTACTGAACAACAAGGACTTGATATCTCTTTCAAGCGGCCTTCTTGAAACTTTATTTCCATTTAAACCATTTCTTCTTGCAACTTTGTTTCCACCCAACAAAACAAAGCGATATAAATTTCTTTCACCAGTATGTTTAGAATCACGAATATCTGCATTCAAACATATTCAAATTATTCATATACATTCTTGTCGCTCCATGGGGAGGGGAAAATATTAGTGCTGGTTTAGAATCTCCAAAATGTCTTGTAAAGGCCAGTTCATCATTACAATGTGTCATTATGTTTCTTTCATATACATCGCGGTGGATGGGGGATTTACCGGAAACCTTTCTTACATGATTTGTCTTCTTGGTGTCTACAAATTAGGAATAATATCGATGAAGCGAAATGAATAAATAGGAGAATGTAGTAGTTCGTAAAAGCTGAAATCGAATCAAACGAGTCCTACAATCTTACCAACTCGAACATGTTAAAAAAGCACGGAAATTATATGACAATCTATACCTTCGCTTATTATGAATATAACAACTTCGTAAATTTAATGGTAACCAAGAAAATAAACAATTCTTTTGCAACAATCAACAAACTTCACAATATTAGACAATAAAACAGGGACATGATTTAGTAAAAATGGAATAGAGATAGGGTTCCACGCCACAAGAGTTATTCCAACAGGAGGGGGGGAGAGAGAGAGACCTTTATTTGGTAGAGCTTCAGATTTTGAGGCTTCTGGTTAATGTGGTCGTTATTCCCATCTTCTTCAGTGTTAGAAGTCGAATAATTAATGTGCTTCACTGACTCGCTGGCCTTAGTTGTGGAACCCTTAGTGATGGTGATAGTGAAATCCGTGGTTGCAATGGAATTGATCGCTGCTCTCCAATCCGCGTCCCCGTCTTCTTCTCCACTGCTGCTGCTGCTCGAGTCTGAATCTCTACCTCCCATCACGAAATTGGTAAAGCGAGGATCCCCTTCGTCGGTTCGCCTCTATGCGTGCGCGCGCAGACAGAGAAGGAGCGCGCGATAGTGCTTTTTCTTCGGTCGTGCAAACTCTTCTTGGCTTCTTGCCATCAGCGATAGTGATTCATTTACTAAAAACACCCTCGATTAGTATCCTGTACTTTTAGGATTAGTATCGTTTAGGTCCCTGAACTTAAAAATGATATTTGAAAAAGATACAAATGCTCTTTTAAGTATTCTAGATACTCATGATATTTGGGAATTAACATTTGCTTCATCTTCGAAATAAACTCCCGATTTGTGGAATTGATGATATGTTCCTCCATGTCAAACCGAATGGAGCAAGATGCAATAGTGTGTCCCATCTGACCACACACGTGACTAAACCTTGGCAGTCGTTCATATTTTACAACTAATGAGATTGTTTCATTATTAAGTAACATAGGGAACAACAGGTAACAAGGGATTATAAACATCCATAGAAACACGTACCCTTGCAAACTTGCTCCATCGATCAATGCCTTTGGGATTGGATTTAGTAGGCACAAACAAAGTAAATACGTTAAATGAGTATTTGATAAATATTTTGACAATTGTCAAAAGTGGGTATTATTCTTTTTTCAAGAGTAGGCAGTAGGGTGGGGTATTTTAAGTAACAAGTGCCAAAAAAATTTTTCTAAGTGCTCATTTATAGGTGTTTCTTGGAATATCATTTTTTTTCGGATATGGCACTGATGTGTCACCATTATTTGGAGCAACGACATTGATGCCAAACAAATGCATAATTGCATTAGATCCCCTCTGTTAGAAACATCTAACAAGGGGCAAAAAAAAGTCCAAAATACCTATGCAATTACAATCAAGGCTGGGTTTTACAGAAAAATAATGTAAATTTTAGAATCAATAAAAAATAAGAGTTTAAAGTTGTAAATTTACCTTTGAGCAATTGATGTGGAGGGTGAATTTGGAAAATAGATTAATTTTGGAAAAGATATTGAAAGGGTAGCCATATGAAGAGAAATATTTTAAAAATAAACATTTTGGTCAAAAGTAATTGCATGGATATTTTAGACATTTTAATGCAACTTGTTAGAGGATTCTAAGAGAGTGAATCTACTTGTAACTATGTTATGAAGTTTTTTAGAGGTGATTGCAATTACCAAACTTCAATGAAGGTTTTAACAATAGTTAAAAAGCTTGAGGGGAGGTTTTAGCAAATTACCCTAATATTTATAGGGTAAATTTCTTAACTACCCTTATGGTTTAGTTAATTAATTAAGTGTACCCTTACCATTTAATAATTGACTGACACTACTGTATTGTTTTTGACAATTGACTAATAGCATCCATTGTTATTTGCCAAAACCCGTATACATTTTAAATCACATGATATTTAAAATTCTTTTAAAACCCAATATTACCCTCCCATGTCCCGATTCTCATGGAGCTATAAAAATCAGCGTTCTTGGAGAAGTTACCGCAGTTCAACATTCTGATTAAAATTTCACAATTCATGGTGTAACGTTAAACAGGTGGTGTAATATTCTGATTAAAATTTCAACAGGGGCTATAGAAATCAGTTTCAACATTCTGATTAAAATTTCAAAAAAGGTTGTAGACGGCAAAACAGGTGGTGTAAGATTAAACAACATAACAGTTGTGGCTCTCTCAGCAAATTTTGTCGGATTCTGTGAACCAATGTCTAAGAACTAGTGTGATTTCTCCTCCATAGATGGTAGAATTGGTCGGATTCCAAGTTCATATGGAAAAAGCGATAGTAAAGAAACCATTTTTCGTTGGTATTGGATGCGATATACCGACGATCACTACCGAACTATTGCTGTAAATCCCTGCACTGTTGACCTTAATGCTGTTAAAGGAGCAAACTACAATCTCCTTTCCTGGAACCAGAGTCTTGATCTTTGATCCATTAGGTAGACTCACAAGATCAGATAAATGGAGAAGCTGAGGTACGGCAATGGAAATCGTAACAAGAACCAACAGTGAGGGTAAAAAGACTCTTGTCACTAAGTGTAAAGACGATGAGGAAGATTATTTTCATAACAGGGGAGAAAGAAAAAGGAAAATAAGAAGAGGAAGAAGGAGCATGGAGCCCCTTTGCTGGATCTGAGATTTTTCCGTTAAATTCTGCTATAACAGTCAAAAGATTATTTTCAGATCTGCTTGTAAGACTGTTAGGGTCATTCTTTATACTTTCAGGAGCTCCAACAGGGTTGGATGAACCAGCATTTCTTTCCTCTTTCCTTTGTTTTATTTTGAAAATTTAAAGAAGAATAAATGGTAACATAGTATTTTTTGTCTTTATGTTGATGTGCACTAACAATAGGGAAAGTATTAGTCAACTGTCAGAAACAGCAGGGATCGCATTAGTTAATTTTCAAATAATAAGAGTATACTTAATTAATTAACTAAACCATAAGAATAGTTTAAGAAATTTATCCATATTTATATGATATAAGAGAATTAAAGTGCTATTATTTGTTAGTTTGGTCATTTTGACCAAGTGATGATGAGTGTCCTAAGGTTGAGACAGCCACAAGATGTTATCAGAGTTATCATAAGGAAGAAAAACACACCCACAAGATGTTATCAGAGTTTTGTGGACGAGACCGGATACACTCCTCACGTAGGGTGCCTCACACGTGCATCCTATCATGCATTGGGAACATCTCCTGTACTTATAAATTATTTTTTACGAGAGATGTTCCTAATGTACGGTGGATATATATGTAAGGCGTCCAATTGTGAGGAGCAGATCCCGTTCCTTCGTGGACAGCAATGCAGCGTTGATATGAATAAGCAGTCTAACTGTCAATATCCTGGATTTTTTCTTCGAGAGGAGTTCTGAGTCAAATTTGAAAAGTGAGGTCAGTATTTAGGTGAAATATCAGGAGAGGTTTAAGTGCTTTACCGTAATCTGATTTATCGGAAGATTTTAATTGCGAATTGAAAATATCAAAATAACTTGGATTAGATTGCAGCGAAAATACATTTAAATCAGAAAATCATATCGGATCGGATAGGGATCCATATATAAATGGAATAGAATTCAGATCACCCGCCGTTTTGGAGGGCTTTGATGCAGCGGCTTCTGCCTCCTGGCTTAGCAAGGTGAACCCACACTGTAGATGCTGAATTAATTAATCAAAAGCCCAGGAAATTAGAATTCGCATTGAGCTAATCAGCTTTCCGTTGAAGCTTATTTCAATAGCTTTCTGAACGCGGCCCAGTCAACGCAGCTTAATCAAAGCTGAACCCCTCCAAACGGGTTCTTAAGTAATTCTAATTCGGATTCGAGCAAATGCCATTTGCAGCCCTACTGGCGCTTTTCACTTTTTCAGCAATCCTGCAATTCCCTCGCTCTACTTCTTCGATCATCCACATCCTCTTTTCTCTACCTTCCCTCCCCGCCAGTGGCGCAGGCACAGACATACTCGAGCTATTGTTGATCTGCAGAAGAAAGAATTGACAAATCAGACGGAGAGGGCAACTTGAGCAAAATCCAGATTTCTTTTATTTTAGACTGCCAACAGAGCAATGGGGAAGAAACAACACAGCAAAGATCGCATGTTCATTACGAAAACGGAGTGGGCGACAGAATGGGGTGGCGCCAAATCTAAGGAAGGCGGTACACCCTTCAAGCGTCTTCCCTTCTACTGTTGCGCGTGCGTTCCCTCTCTGTATCAGGATCCCTAATTTTCTTTTTGGTATTTTATTCTCGTTCAATTTCATCTTTTTTATCCTTTCATACTTTTCTGATTTCATATCGTTTTCTCTCTCTGCGGGAATCGTTCGATATAGGCTCACATTTACTCCGTTCGAGGATGCAGTGTGTACAATTGACGGCAGTGTTTTCGACATAATGTGAGTATTATCGATTCATGGTATCAGGCTAAGCTAGAGAGTGATGATTTACCCTTTTAATTCCACTTATATTTATTAATTATTATCAGAAAGTGCTTTTTTTTTCTCGTTATATTTTTTTGAGCTTGGTTTAAGTTTGAATGCAGGAATATAATTCCTTACATAAAAAAGTATGGAAAGAATCCAGTTACAGGAGCTCCCCTTAAGGAGGAGGATCTTATACCTCTTACTTTCCACAAGAATTCCGAAGGTATGGCCTCTTGAATGTCTATTATTATTCTCTGGCAGTTCGACTTAATTGGGGAAGTAAGATCGCATCTAACAGACATTGCGTGAGTGCAAACTTCACTTGGCTTCTTTACAGTCACAGTTTTTGGGATAAATTTCTTTACAAACACGTTTTGGTATTCCTTAAATAAAATTCACTTGGGAATAAAACCTTTTTGTTGTTAAAATGAAGAGACAGGTTTTTAAATTTGGATTTTGGGCTGTAAATAAAAAGAAATTTACCCCTCAAATCCATACAACTGATGCATAAGCATATTGAAGTTGGTTTTAGCTAAATGGATGGAGAAAAGGGAACATATTTATTGGGTAAAAGAAAATCTTAGAACTGGGTTTCTATCTGGAGAGAATTTGTAACTTTCTGCAGAAATGGGAAAAAGGTTGGTTAATATTTGCATTTTCTTTTTGAAATTATAATACACTGCCACTGCAGCACCAAACATAATAACAAGGCAGCATTGTATATGCATGATGTTCCTCTCCTCAACTTATTTCCTTTATTTCACTTTCTTGATACTGGTAGATATCCATGATTTGTACCTCAATGGTACTGCCTGCTTGTCAGGGGAGATCTACTTGCGTTATGTCTTCTTGTTTATCTTTTCACTTTCTGTTGTATGTGTGTAAGCTATGCGCCGGTTAAAAAATTCAAATGTTTTTAATTGCTTTAAAATTAATACTTTGCACTTCAACTCAACAACGCCTTGTCTTAACTATATGGGGTCAGCTACATGAATCCTGTTTCACCATTCTGCTCTGTTCATGCTATATCCATTGTTAAAGAAATTATAGAAAAACCTCTCTATGAAAATGATGAGAGTGAACCTATATTGAAGAAAGTGAGTTTCAAGAAGACAGTGTGATGCTGGATGAAACACAAAGTTGAAAGTTCTGTTGATCTGGAAATGGCAGCTAACAAGGAGGTGGAAGTGTGTAAAATTTTGGGGTTATTTTTCTGAGGAGATGAATTTGCAAGGAAGAAAGGGGATGGGGAATCGGTTGCAGCTCAGACATTTGAGAAGAATGCAATTCTGGATCTCGAAGGGATAGTTGAGGGTTCTAAGAGCCAGAATACCCTTAAAAAAGAATGTTACTGCAGTGAAATGTTTCAAAAAATGGAATTTAAACAGAGTGTTCTGGTGTCTAAAGTTTTTGCAAGATTAAGAGGATGGTTATTTGGGATGGGACCCATCAAGAAGATGAAGAAAACTAAGATGACGATTAATAAAAATAAGAGGTAACGACTCATATGTCTATAGGATTTGGGCAACAAAGTTGATCCTAAGGAGATTCAAGTGAGAGTTGGTGCTCTATTGCTGCTGGAGATGGGGTTTTGGGTTAGGTTTTAGTCTTTTTGTGGGGAAGGTTGTAGTCCTTATAGCTGGCCTGGAGAGTGGTGCCTTTGTTATGGTCTATTCTTTGGGTAGTGGAGTCTCTTGGTTGGTGTTGGGAGTGGGGTGGTGAAGGGTTGTTTTACTGTTTTCTCATTTTATATTTCTTCTCTTGGGTGATAACTGGTCACCTTTCTTTTACTCTTCTTTTGTCTTTAATAAATTTTACTTTATCTTTGATAAAAATAAAAAAAAAATCCATTGTTAACTTTGAGCTCTAAAATCTTCTCTCACTACTTCAATCCATGCCCTTTTTGGCCTGCCCCTAGCCTTCTAGACCCGCATCACCCACCTAGGACGCCTCGCCTGTGCGCATCAAGCACACCTTTTAAATCACTGAGACAGATGAGTGGGAAACTAAAAGATAGGAACAGAAGTAATTCATGGGAAATTGGGAATCTAAGAGTAGCCCTGATAGGTGATAACTGAGATAAAATAGACTAAGGTGATTTGGCAATGCACATAGAAGACCATCCTTAGCAACGGTATGAAAAAGTCATCTATTACAAGTTGAAGGGTGGACTTGGCGCTTTTTTGTTTTTTTTGAACATACTATAAAATCATTATTTTTTTGTGTGAAAACTAAGAATTTAAGACCTAATGTGGACTTGTTTGGACTTGCCTCGAGGGGTGTAGCTTAAAGGCGGCTCATAGAATCAGGAATGTAGTATGTTTTACATTACATTAGCTATGTAAAGTACTGCAATTGAGTGAAAAAAAGAGATTAGAGGTTTTACATGCTTGAAAATGTTTTATATGTTTGATTTTATTTTTAAATTCTCATTTGAATATGCTTTACATCTTATGTTTATGTATTTTAATTTTAGATAATAGGTTTTTTAAAACATTATTTTAAAGTTTAAGTTTATATTTTTTTAGTAATATTATGTTTAATATTTTTTTGAATTTTCTGACTCTTTTTTTGATTTTTTAGCATTTTTTGTAATTTTGTGCCTTGCTTCAAAAATCAGGCGCAAATTGACCCCTGCGCCTTGCGCTTTTAAAACACTGATCCATCTCAATATTATTTTTTGGTATTTGGTAATACACACCACTAGCCCCCCCCACAAAAAAAAAAAAAGTCAGTGGTTGTGGGAACCAAATCTGAATATATGCTGAAGCGAACAAGCTAACAAACCAACTGAACCACCCCTCAGTTGGATCTGTCTCGACATTGATACCTCTGCTACATTTGTTTTTAACATGTCATTTCTTGACTGCCCAATATTTTGCTCCATAAAACATTTTTGGCTTTATCTGTTCTATAAAATTTTCCTTTTACTTTTAGTGGTATTCTTTGTCACACAAGGTAATGAAGGCCACAATGAGGTGCCTCTTGGTTCTTATTCCTAGTTGTTCCCTGATTCAAACTCCTATTATTTACATTTCATATTCTGTTTTAGTCCAACTTGTCATAAAATTTCTTGTTTCTAGATCACCTATTTATAGATATGGTTTGTGATTTAATCTTACTCTAATTTCATTAATTAATACTGTATCATCAACGAACAACATACACCATGGGACCTCCTTCTTAATATATGAACAACAATTTTATGATTTAAGCTTGTAGATTTCAAGAGGAAACCTATGCTAGTGAATATTGCCTAATGAAGGTATGAATTTTAATTTTCTTATCAAACTGTACTAAACCAATTTATTACTCTTTAGTTCAGTCATCTATTTCTATATAATCATGTGGCATTACTTGCTTCGTCTTTATATTTTGGTTCCAAGTATTTTTTTTTTCTTGTCTTTGGAGACCAATTAGACTTCTAAATTACTTCTCTTGGTATAATAACTGCTGGACCTCTCCTCTTTCTTACTGCAGGAGAATACCATTGCCCAGTTTTGAACAAAGTATTTACTGAATTCACACACATAGTTGCTGTGAAGACTACAGGGAATGTCTTCTGTTATGAGGTATGGGCATTTTTCTGATGACCATTGCTAGTATGCTTTTATTTCAACTTTTCTGTACATAATGGCTTCCATACAGTTTAGCATTGTTTGGTTTTCTTGCCAAGGCCATTAAAGAATTGAACTTGAAAACAAAAAACTGGAAGGAGCTCCTTACAGATGAACCATTCACTAAGGAAGACCTGATTACAATTCAGGTATATGTTTAAAGTTGAAAAATGCCACTTTCAGTTTCTTGTTAATTTAATCTTCATTGTCAGGACAATTACAACTGGTTCTTGCATTGGCTTTCTCTGCAGAATCCAAATGCACTTGATAGCAAGGTTCTCTCAGACTTTGATCATGTTAAAAACAGTTTGAAAGTTGATGACGAAGGTGATTTATGCAATTAGAAACTCTCTTAAGCATAGTTTTATCTTTTATTTATTTATACACCATCTATTGACTTCATAGATGTTTGTTTGAGCAGAATTAAGGAGAATGAATTCTGATCCAACCTACAACATAAATGTCTTTGGGGATATTAAGCAGATGCTTCAGGAGCTTGGGACTGAGAAGGGGAGGCAAACTGCTTTGCATGGTGGAGGTGGTAGCAAAGCACAAAGTGAAAGAGCTGCTGCGCTTGCTGCAATTTTAGCTTCAAGGTCCCGCATAAAAGAAGATTCCAAGTCAAAAATGAATGGAGAGGTTAAACCTACTCAGTCTTACAGTATAGTAGATGCTGCATCTGCTTCAGTACATGGAAGAAGTGCTGCAGCAGCCAAAGCTGCATCAAGTGACAAGACTGCTGCACGGATAGCCATGCACATGGCAGGTGAACGGACCCCTGTAAATGCAAAACTGGTTAGTTTTTCAACTCAAGATATTTTTTAATTGATAGCTTTAATCTTTATTGGATTTTGAAAAAGAATGTATTGATCTTTTTTCCCCTTTAGATATCAACTTATAATTAGTACATCTGTTTTCTTAGCTTTATTATTCTCCCGTCTTCTTTTGGCTAGTGATTAGTGAATTGTAAAGTTCTTAAATTCTTTCATGTTGTATAATTGTATTTGGATTTGGACTTTGGATCAAATTGTGGAATGGAGATTAAGTACTGCAGAATCCTGAACTTCATCTAAGAGAGTGATGTTAAAATGATGATCCCTGTTATTAAAAAAAAGTCTCGGGTTGGCTACAAAAATCCTGTTCTTCCATCCTACTTTGTCTAGGGATACACTCCTGCTATTAGGGAAGTTTAATAATAATCTTACAATAACTGTAACAAAGAAAACAGCTAAAGCTGGTAAACACTATATATGTAGAAAAACCCTTAGCTTCACTGTCCCCCTGGACCTGAACTATCCCCCGCCTCCCTTCAAAGTCCTGTCTTCCCACACTTTAGCTAGAGTATTCACTGACTGCAGAATTCACCTAAATGATCTGTTGAAGAGTGCATATACTCTCCTCCCAAATACATCACCTTATTACCACTGGGCAGAAGGGCAGTCACCTTCAATGAATAGTCTACTCCAACCAGAGTAGTAGGCTAGCATTAGACCTTGTAAGAGAGTAAAGTAGTTCAGCTCTAAGAGAGATCCCTTTTCTTGCAGTGTCTGAAAAACTCAACATGATGCTGCCTACAGTTCAGCTCATATTATCCCTTCTCCAACCAAGGTTCATGGATGACTACCTCCTCCAAGGATTTCAAATCTCATCCACTTGGTGGATTTTAATATGATAGGCCTCCCATAAAGATTCCAAATCTCATCCACTTGGTGGAATTTGTCCACCTCTTTGGCTGTTTGTGGATTCTCTATCCCAGTATCCCTCAACCAATGAGCACAAATAGAGGAAATGTAATCTTTGGGAAACGGTTGCTCCCTCCTGGAATTTGTCGCACCACTTAATGAAAATTGAGCATATCAAATAATACAATTATATATTTATTGGAAGTTCATATATTCTTGTTTCTTCTATTAATGCAAACATCGAGATCATTTGAGATGTATCTTGAGATTGTGGAAAAATTTTATGCAAGTATTTATGTCAAATTGTCAATTTCTTGTAAAGTGGCTACTGTTGCAGGAGAAATTAAAGTTTGTATAGATTGTTAAACTCATGGAAATATCTAGCCCAATATAAAAAACAGTGCAGTGCTTGGTATCTTATTGTTCTTACATGAAGGTACTGGGTATTTTTTTTTCCAGGTAAAAAGTCGTTTCACTACTGGTGCTGCATCTCGCTCCTTCACTTCAACTTCTTATGATCCTGTTACCAAAAATGAATTTGAATATGTTAAAGTTGAGAAAAATCCAAAGAAGAAAGGTTACATTCAACTGCATACTACACATGGTGATTTGAATATCGAACTGCACTGTGATATAACTCCCAGGACATGTGAAAACTTCATAACACTTTGTGAACGTGGATACTATAATGGAGTTGCTTTCCATCGGAGTATTCGGTATGGTGACAAACTGCAAATACTGAAACTTATTTATCAAATCTATTAAAGCATCACATCCACTATTTTGCAGGAATTTTATGATCCAGGGGGGTGATCCCACTGGCACTGGAAGAGGTGGTGAGTCTATTTGGGGAAAACCTTTCAAAGATGAGCTGAATTCAAAACTGCTTCACTCAGGAAGGGGTATTGTCAGTATGGCAAACAGTGGTCCCCACACAAATGGTTCCCAGTTCTTCATTCTTTACAAGTCCGCAAATCATCTGAACTTCAAACACACGGTTTTTGGTGTAGTTGTGGGTGGCTTGACTACTCTTACAGCAATGGAAAAGGTTCCTGTAGATGACAATGACCGGCCTTTGGTAAGCTATGCTTTTTTGCCTCTTTCTAGGATGGCTAAACAAATTATTCAGTGCAGTTTGTCTTGATCAATTCAATGATATCAAACCTTTGAAAAAACAACTAGCATGAAGTTGGCCTTACGATATATTGGTCTTCAAGGGTGCTGATCCCTAACATTGTTTCTTTCTGCATATTCAGATATTTTCAAGTTTGGCATATGGAAGGCAATGTTGTCATATACCTGGTTTTGTTTCTTATAGATAGTTTTGTTAGCATTCGAAATTGGGAATTTTAGAGTTGATATTTGTAGAGAACACTGATGTGGGCCCCACGGCTGTGGTCTCCACTGTGTTCGTATGACAGCATGTGTAACCTTTGTTAGTCATGTCAGTGTTAGTTGGTAGTTATCTTAGACAGCTTGTTATTTCAGTCTTTTATTTGATTTATTTGCCATGTAAGTATTAAGGGCAGTTCCGTCCTTTCCTATATTTAGTGAACATAACCTATAAATATTAAGAGAGTGGCGGCGGCAGACTCATTCAATCTGTCCCTCCTTTCAAAACCCTTGTGCACTTCTGCTTCTTCTCCTTTCTTCTTCCTCTTCCTTCTATTTTTCTCAATCTGAAATCAGTTGGGATTCAAGACTGATTGTAGTCTTGATCGACTACTTAGTATCAGAGCCTATCTAGTGTTTCTCATGTGAGTCTAGTCCAGCTGACCACATGAGAATTTTCTAGGGCTGGAAGCTTACAAAGGACTGTTCGTTGGCTGATTTTTGGAGGTTACCAGAAAAGTTTAGCGAAGACTTGTCGCGGCTTACAGTGTTTTGGTAATCAGGAAGAATCAGAGGAGGTTAGGGTTCAGGCCACAATTGAAGGTAGCGATCAGAATTCTCTGGGTAAGTCTTTATTTTTCCCTTGAGATTGCTGTTAGTCAAGATAAGTTGGACCTATCTAGGAGGAGCGGCCGAACCCTCCTATTTTCTCTCAAAGGTGATCAGTTTTTTTTAGGGTTTGTCATTAACCCTACGGCTAGACTTGACTGAATTCTCTTGGAAAGTGCGGCTGAGCACTGTTTATGTTCTCACAAGGGTCTTCCTAACCCTACGATTGAAACCCTAATTCTGCTTCAGCTCTACAAAGTGCTTTCTAAGTGAGTTTCAGACTTGGTTTTGGCTTTCGAGCCTGTTTTGAGAGTGAGAACTGTTATCAGACTGCATATATTCTGATTGCCGATTGGTTTCAGATCAGATYTGAACTGATTTCATACAGTTTTCTGATTGTGATCGATTGCTTCAGTGCTGTTTTCTAGTATGGAAACCCTAATAGTTCTTAACTACTGATTCTTGACCAAGAATGGAGTTCAAAAATCAGGGAGAAGGTGTGTTTGGGAACAACAGTTCTGGTAGTATGTCTGAGACTGCGTTTCAGATTACAACTGTGAGATTTGATGGATCCAATTACTTGGAATGGGCCCAATCAGCCATGATGGCTATTGGGGGAAGGGGAAAACTTAGCTATCTATTGGGAGATGTGAAAGAGCCTTCCAAGGAGGACCTAATGTATATCAAGTGGGTTCAGGAGAACTACTTGGTTATGACATGGCTGTGCAACTCGATGCAGCCACATATAAGCCGAAATTACTTGTGGGCTAAGACATCCAAGGAGATATGGGATGTCATGAAAGAGACCTACTCCCAACCCCTTAATGTTGCTAGGGCCTATGAACTAAAGTGTGAAGTGAATAACCTTAAATAAGGAGAGAAACCAGTCTCTGTGTATTTCTCTACACTGAAATCACTGTGGCATGAAATTGACTATCTGGAGACTCTTGAGTGGGAAAGTCCAAAAGATGCACAGACCCATAGAAAGCAAGTCGAGACCAATAGGGTGTTTGAATTTYTGGMTGGCCTGAATTCARATTATGACATTGTGAGACAGCAGATACTGACAAGAGACAGTGTGACCCTTTCTCAAGCATACTCCCTGATGCATAGTGAAGAGACCAGGAGGAAGGTTATGATGCAACATCARCCCTTWCCYCCAGCYCTRGCAGCAGTTAAACCTAAGTCTGGGGGTGATACAGAAAGAGACATGAAGAAGGAAGACAAACGGGATCTGGTATGTGAACATTGCAAGAAACCCAAGCATGCGAAAGATACATGTTGGAAGCTCCACCCTCATTTAGTCCCAGCAAAACTGAAGAATAAAAGGGGTAATGCTCATATGGCTATGAATACTGATTCTGCTTCCTCATCAGGCACAAAAGGCACACCCCTAGATACCTTAGTTGCTGTTCGGGCTGCCCTGATACAGTTGGAAAAGGAGGTTGGGAATTCGGCCCAATCATCTCAGTCACCATCAGCCTCTGCCACATCTGCATTTGCTCATTCAGGTACCCGAGCCTCATTCAAAACCCTTGTGCACTTCTGCTTCTTCTCCTTTCTTCTTCCTCTTCCTTCTATTTTTCTCAATCCGAAATCAGTTGGGATTCAAGACTGATTGTAGTCTTGATCGACTACTATATTGAAAAATACTTTGGTTTATAATTTATTGTACGTCATCATCATCGTTGTCGAAGCCTTGTCCCAACTACATCATCATCCAAGCCTTATCATTCAATTTTGGCCTATGGGGCTGGCCACATAATGCTGCTTTGCCATTCCATTCTGTATAATGCGGTAATGCCATACCAATTGTTAAATTATTGGCGCTTAAATCATTTTTAACTATTTCTACACATGTCCTTTTTGATCTACCCCTAGTCCTTTTGGCCACTTCAACTTGCAACAAGTCACTTATTCTTATGATGTTGTTGATGGTCTTCTATGCACGTGATCAAACCATCTTAGTCTACTTTCTCTTATCTTGTCACCTATTGGAGCTACTCCTAGGTTCCTTTAAATGATTTCATTTCTGATCCTGTCCAAGGCTCAAAATATCGATACACCTTGATACACCAAAAGGGGTGTAGCGATACTTTGAACCTTCCACTTTTATTTTTTTAGTTTGTTTTTTCAAAATTTCATTGGAGGGGTTATTTTATATACTTTAATTATTAAAAACAGATTCCTAAAAACTCCCTTAAATCATCCATATCCATCATTGAATTATGGGTGCTTAACTCATTTCTTATTACTTCCACCCACGTCCTCTTTGGTCTGCTCCTAGCTCTTCTATCCCCTTTGATTTATGACAGGTCACTTTTCCAAACACGTGTTGTAGATGGTCTTCTATGCATGTGACCAAACCATCTCAATCTACTTTCTCTCACTTTATCAGCTATTGGTGCTACTCCTAGTCTCCTTCATATGACTTCTTTTCTAACCCTATTCTTTATGGTTTTATCATTCATCCATCTAAGCATTTGGATTTCTGCCACACTCATTTTTTGGACATGTTGTTTTTCTTAACTGCTCAACACTGCTCCATACGACATAGCAAGGCTTATAACTATTTTATAAAATCTTCCTTTTAGTCAAAGCAGTATTCTCCTATAACGTAAGACCCCAGATGCACCCCTCCATGTTCTCTATCTTGCTCTGATTCTATGGGTGGCATCTTCAATTTCTCCTTTGTTATGAATTACTTTAATTGTACATTTTATTTACAAAAATAGAAATAAAACATAAATATTAACTGCAATAGAAATTGAAAAAAAGAGACAGGAATTAATATAAAAATAAAAATACTAATTTTGTTCAGTAATGTTTTTTTCTCCCGATCTACTTGACAGTGTTGGGGCTTTTTTTTTGGCTGGTTGGTGGCTTGAAAATTGGTTTCTGCTTTAACAAGTCATATATTGTTGTTTGGTAGTCACTCTAGTATATTCATAATTATGGATTAGAATTTAAAAGAAAGCCTTGTGTCTGAAAACCTAAATGCCATAACTTGTCAAGGGTGGGGTGGCCCAACTTACTCCTCGTTCTTGGTACCGAAAATCCACTAATATGCTTGAACATCATTTGTATGTGTTGTTTGAGATGTTTGAAGTGAAATTTGCAACAGAAGTGTTCATAACTTCCTCTCATTGCATGGAGTTTTTATTGTAGGGAGTATGCATGTGTGTGTGTGTGTATATATATATACACTTACTGACTATGCTTACAACCTCGCACTATATGATATTATGTACCAACCAACAAGCTTGTGAATCCATGGGCACACGCATATGCCACGTTATTATTTATTTTTTCCCTGAAAAGACATACTATGTTCATTATCTAAGTCAAACTTCCGTTCCTGTTCATCTGCACCAATTGTATTATTATTGATTCTCCTTGACATTTTTGCTCCTGAGGTATGGCATGCTAAATACTTTATTATTTATTACCATAATAATCAATTCTCCTCATAAATTTGTTTTGCATATTTGCTCTTAAAGTAAATAGTACATCAAATTCTGTTGTTTATAAGCTATAATTAGCAGGTAGCCAGTGCAAGCATGGGCTTGTGATAGGAATCATATAACAATTGTAGGAGAGTTGGCCACTTGTATCGTGCCCAACTATGACACTGTCATGATTGACAGAACCACAAAAATAAAAGTAACAGTGAGCAGCAATTCACTTCATTTTGAATTGACCACCCATAGATCATCATGACAACCCAGTCTTCGGCCGGTCTAGCATCCTTTAACAGTGAGAAATTGCCGACATGCAGATAAAATTTCTCCCCCCGTACTCTTCTGTGTCACCATCCTTCCTCTCTTGGTTGCAGCACTGTCTCTGCTGCTAGAAGCTCTCCAAGAAAAAAAACATTCGTGTAAGACAAAACCTAAACATAAGTCCTCCCATTTCCAGCCTTATCTCCCCCGCTGTCAGCTTTGCAAGGAACAAAAAAATGTTATAAAAGCCATAAAAAAACGTAGGACAGCAGCAACTATGAAAGCAAGAAATGAAAAGCGAACAAAATGCCCTGTTTCTGCCTCTAGCACCCATGCAAAGAAAAACATGAAGAAGCTACCCGAAGAAGTCCAATCCTCATCAGAAAATAGAAACACCAAACCCAGACCAAACTCCATGTGCACACACCCATCTCGCCTGAGTGCAATAGACCGGTCCAATCCAATCAAACACAACCCGAAAGAAATACCACAAACCAGCCTTCCACCTCCATTCCCAACAAATGACAATCAGCCATCATAAGAAAATGAAAGGAACTCCGGTCAAAGGCAAAGATATTCCCTGCAAAATCACAAATACAACCAAGAGAAAGAAATACCACCAACAGTCTCTGCACACCACAAATCAGAAATAGCCCGTGCAAAGCAGTCTTGTACAGCAAGTGGATTACAGTTAACTTAGTGGGCTCCAATCTCCATTTTCAACCCTTTCTGATAAAAATTCTCCATTTTCAACAAAAAAAGAAATGAACGGATACAATGCAAGATGACCATCACCTGCTGACCCATATAGAGAGCCACATAATCCTTCCTTCCATGAATGATGCACGATTGATGTATGTTCTTCTTTCCCTTTATTTATATAATGAACACCATGTAGCAATAATTGATAAAGACAGGCATTTTTTTTTCTGTAAATAAAAAATGGGCATTTTAGGTTAAAATAAGAATCACTATTTCCCTAACCGGTCAATCTGAGTGTTAGCTTAAGCAACAGTAAACAAACTGAGGAAAACTAGTTAAAAAAGAATTAATATAAGAATTTGATATCAAAAAGATTGATTTTTTATTATTAAAATTAATATATTTGAATTCTGCCATGAACAGGAGAGTAGACACTGCCATTACAATCTCTTATTCCTCTCTCTCTCTCTCTCTCTCTCTCCCCTTTCTTTCATTTCTCTCCAGAATACCATACCAGTCTGTTAGATCTAATGCTCACTGTGAGGTGTAAATAACTAAATCTTCAAAAACAGACAAAAAGACACATCAACATAAACCCAAAAAAAGTTGTAGACGAGCTTTGATCTCTCCCTCACCGAGGATGCAGCTTCTGTGTTCACTGAAGTACGACCAAAAACAGGTAAGGTAGCCTGCTCTCTCTCACTGCCTCCTCTCTAGATAATCTTCTCTCTCACAGTCGGTACTCGGTAGAAGGAGAGGTAGAAGAATGGAAAACAGGGAGCAATTTTTGGTAGAAGGGAATGAGTTCTGTAGAACAATGCTGTTTCTTTTCTCTGTATTGATTAGAGAGGGGTAGAATTTGTTTTTGGTAGATTGGAAGAAGGGCGGAATTTAATTGGGTAAATTTCCATCATGTCTATGCATCGTACCTCGTTGTTTTGCGTTACCTGTTATATCACAATTTGAAGGGTAACAGGGTTGGTGACTTGGCTTAATGGGAGTGGGAGGGTTGATGACTTGGCTTAATGAGAGGGCTGGGAAGGGGTAAGAGAGAGAGAGAGAGAGAGAGAGAGAGAGAGTTAAGGAGGAAGCAGGAAAGGGAAAGGGAGAAAGGAGAAGCATGCTGATGTGGACTGCTTTGTTTTATATATATAGTATAGATGTTTGTTCCATCTGTCTCGTTGGATTTTGAAATTCCTCCATTTTGCTATGCCTATCATATTGGATTGTATGAACCACAAAATCACATAAAAATTTTCAGACACTAACTAAACAGCTTGTGTAAGACCACCCACTCACCGAGGCCTGAGCCAGGCCTATGTTGTGGTTGGGTATAGCTTCAGGCTAGGGGTGATCAAAACCTGTCTGACCTGGAAGGCCCTGACCAAAAAATTTGAGTTAATGGCTTCTTGTGCTCAAAGACCCTGTCATTATGATATGGACCCTTAATGGTGACAGGTTTTGAACATAAAAAGTGCTGAATTTATCATTGCCAGGCTGGGCTTGGTCCCAAATGTTTATGCCTTGGGCCTAGCCCATACTGTCTATACCCTACTACAATCAAACCCAGCTCAGCTTTGCCCCAGGTTCCTGGGAGGGATCTCTAAACATGCAACAGTAGCAAGTTATTTGGTGCCCTAGGTTGGACTTTGCATCCTGCAAAAGACCCATGATTATCAGTTTTGTTAAAAGGTGTCTTTCTGAATATTCCCCAGCTTATCAGTTTTATTGAAATTGGGAATTAAGAAAAATGTGAAAAAAATTACAGAAAATGGTAAAAGCTTTTCATCTGTTTTATGGAAATAGAAGCCTAATATTATAAATACTAAATAACAGCACCTATTGGTGCAATTATTTATGAAACCTTTTTTATTGTAATTTCTGCTGTTCCTTACTGTCCTGTTTCTTTTTGTGATTATTCATTTGATAGTGGCATTGCCTTTTATTCATTGCATTTGTAGTGTGTTAGAGTTTAACTCGCAATGAGTTCAAGTTGTTTACACACAAATAATGTCAATCTTCTCTTATTCCATCTTGTTTTTGTATATTTTCATATGTGCTGTTAATCCATCTAGCCCCTGCAGGAAGAAATAAAGATAAATAGCGTCACGGTATTTGTCAATCCTTACACAGAATCTGATGATGAAGAAGAGAAAGAGAAGGGTAAAGATGAGAAGAATGCCATTGATGATGAAAATGTATGTTTTAGAACACTTTGGTATCAGAGTATTGGCATCTATATTCAGGATAATCTTTTTTCAGTTGTTTTTGTTTATTTTTGCTGCATTTCAGGATAAAGTAGGTTCATGGTATAGCAATCCAGGTAGTGGAACAATGGGATCAACAACTGTGGGTGGTGTAGGCAAGTATCTGAAAGCAAGGAATGCTCAAGTGGAAGCTGCTGCTTCTGTTGGTGATGCTGGTTTGCAGGAAAATGTTGTAGCGAAGAAAAGGAAATTAGGTGTTTCTACGGGGGAATTGAAGGACTTCTCTGCCTGGTAAGAATTCCCAAAGATTTTGTACCATTAGCAGTACTGCAGATCTTATTCACCAAAGAATTGATCCTTGCTTTTATGTATTGTATAATATGGCCTGAATATGAAAATTTTCCCTAGGAACAATGTATTTTGATATGATAATGTGTTGAGTGTACAGCATACATCTGCATTAGCTTATCTGTCCATTTATCAATTCTTTGTTTTAGCAATTCCAGTTTGATGCATTTGTTTCCAACATAAAAAGAGACAATTATTCATACTGGAATATTTTTGCCCCTTTGGAGCGGAAAATTTGTTTTCTGCTCTGTTTACATCAAGGAAAGCAGGCTAACTACAGCTGGGATTTCCCAGTTTCCACTTCCCACTATAATGTATGCACGTGTCTGCCCGAAGTATGGAAAGAGTTTTGATCAATCAAAACCCACCCATTAATTTTGATAATTAACACCATTGGTCAGTTGTTTTTGGAATATCATATCATAGTCGAACCCTAAGATTATTACGAGATGCCATAAATCTACATTTCTCAAGATTTTTGGAGATTTTACTACTTTTTATTTTGGGTAAAGTATACAGGCCCCCTGTACTATGGGGTCAGTGACAAAAACCCCAGCACTTTTTTTTGACAAAGACCCCCGAACTTTGGCTGTTAGACAAAGACCCCCTTTCATTAGTGTTCCATTGGTGATCATAAAAAAAAGACTCTCAGTTCGCTGTTAAAGAGTTTTAAATCCCTAAATTAGCCTTTTGATAATTATTCAAACAATTTTACACTTGTTATCATTTTTATACACTCTTTTGTCTATCTCCTACACCTAATCCGGTAGTCCCGTCGGTGCTTGCAACTTGCTTCAGCCCTCACTCAGCATCAAGAGAGATGTGGTCTCTATCGTAGCTATGAATGTTCCAGCCATGTACGAGCTCCACTTCATCGCCCCCATGGTCAATGCCATCCTCAACACCATCAATACCCGCCTGAATGCCCTAACCATCTTCGTCTTCCTCCGTCACGACAAGTTCAACCTCATCTTCGTTGACTTCCTGTATTGCTTCCTTGTTCTCGAAGGCCGAAGCCATCTCATTGCTCCCACTCGCCACGCAAAGGCCTCTTCCTTTCTTCATCATAGAGGAAGGAAACGAAATAGTAACTGTTGAAGGTGATCTGACTTACGACGAAGATAGGGAACAATCATCGATGATTGTAGAGAACAACCAATTCGAACCAGCACCCATATTTCTTTTTGGCACTGTTGCATCCATTAGGATGACTCAAAATATGAAAAGCCATGGATGAGACGTTCACTATTATGATGTACAATGGATTTAGATGGTCTCAAACGGCTAAAATATTCACCAATCAAGGATATTCAAAATTCAAGTACAATCCATGGTAAGCCTACACTGTAAGTTAGGAATTTTGTAAATTAGGGATTTTTTTTGGGGTTCACCGGTAACACTGCATTCAGCAATTCATAAATTAAGGATTTACCAAAACAGTATTTTTTTTGGGGTTTTAACCGTTCAGTCCACACCTAGGGTGGAGCAAAGATTTCTAAGGGTGGACTGAATCTGATTTGGGGGAGAGTACTTGCGGAACAAGGGTCACCCAAAGTCCAAACTTCAATCAAAGCATTGAGAGAACCGACGAACACCTAAACAGAGAGAGAAAGAGGAATGTAGAGAGTAAAGCCTGGGAGCCAGGTAAAGAAAAGTTCCGAACCGTTGTTATTAGGAATCGATGACAGGAATATAGGATACAAAGAAAATGAAGATTTACGATTTCACAGGAAGGGAGATGCAGTTTATGGGTTTGCTTCGACAACTTCAACTTGAGGCGGTGATTTGCAAAACCATTTATGATTTACGATTTACGATTTGCAAGTTTGCTTCTACGATTTGCGATTTTTGAGAAGACATTGCTGGTGTCTGATTTAGGATTTCATAAGAAGGGAGATGCAGTTTATGGATTTGCTCCAATAACTTCGTGATTGGCAGATTTACAGAATGATTTACGATTTACGATTTGGAGATCTGTATCTTTGCAGGTTTGCTTCTACGATTTGCGATTTTTGAGAAGCCACTGCTGGTGTCTGATTTACAATTTCATAAGAAGGGAGATGTAGTTTATGGGTTTGCTTCGATAACTTCCAACTTGAGGGGGTGATTTGCAGATTTGTAGAACAATTTACGATATGCAGGTTTGCTTCTAGGATTTACGGTTTTTGAGAAGCCGTTTGTGTTTGATTCGCTTGCCTGATTTGTAGAACGATAAAATGAAGGTAACGCATGAAGTTAGGTCGTTAGATTAGGATTTAAGAGAGAAGGGCAATAAAAAGAAATACAGAAATTTCAGATGGGTATTTTGATAATTTAATGCATTCGTTATCTGACTTAACGGTTAGAGGTCTTGCCAAAGTTCAGAGATTTTTATCGTAAAGAAAAAAAAAAAAGTTAAGGAGGTCTTTCTCACCCCTTTTCATTTTTATTAAGTGCAGATCTTATTCCTTGAGAGGGTTAAAAAGAATGAAGGTGGTTTTCTGAAATTGTAGCCCAGCACCTTCTCATAATAAAGAGAATAACCATATATGGTGATGGCATAGATGCATTAGTCTGAAGAGATGTTGGCACACCACATCTAGGCAACTTAATTTGATATGGGCACAAAACAGGTGATTTAATTTGATATGGCCACATCATGGGTGATTTAATTTAATATGATTGCACCACATTTTGCATCACGTTATCTACATGAGGTTATTGATAGAAACATAAAGAATACTTATTTGGGGTAGGCTGCAAATAGATGTTAGGTAGACTCAAATTTGATTAATTTGTTGATATTTAAAGGTTTCTTTTTTAGACAAATGGCATCAAATTTTTTGGATAAATTTTTTAAATTATCCTTATAATTTAACTAATTAATTAAGTGTATCTTTACTATTTGAAAATCGACTAACACTATCCCTACTATCTCTAACAATTGACTAATACTTCATTTATAGTTAGTGCCTCTTAATATTCAGTTAACGATAAGATAAAAAGACTATTTTACTCTTCTATTTTTTTTATAATCTGTGTAAAAGGGTTATCTCAGTTGGGCTGGTTTTTCAGTGAATTCTTGATATGCAATTAGGGGAGGTGGAGAGGGTAAACGAAGAGAAGGGGGGCGGAAGAAGAAATCACCGCCGCTATTGGAAGTTGCAGTAGTGGCACGGTGATTTTGGTAGATCCAAAAACAGAGTTGAAGGGGGCGGAGGAAACCCTGATCCTTTTCCCTTTGTTTTTTGCCGTCAGAAACCCTGTTGCAGCGGCGGCGGTGATTTCGTCGTCGGAAACCCTGAAGAAATCACCAAAAAAAACAACATTTGAATCCTACAAGAAACCAAAAAGAAATAACGATACAGTTCGGTGATCTGGGTTAACTTTAAGAATCTCACCAAAATACAGTTCGGTGAAAGCTTCATCACCGGTTCCAACGACTACTCAATACCTGTTACCTCATACCAAAATGATCGGAAGAAAAAAATAAAAAAATAAACGGAAAACAAAAGAAAATAACAAGGGAAAAATTAATAACGATTGGACTTACCTAATCTTATTTTGTTCTCAAAATGAATGATGGACAGGGGAGCCGGGATCTTGTAATTCCTAGCGCAATACCATCTAGAAGTTTTATGCGAAAGTTTCGTCCAGTTCTTAATGGTCGCTGCGAAAGGGAAGCAGCGATAATACTTGCCATCGCAAGAGGTAAACACGGACAGCCTAATGTCATCGTTTCTTTACCTCTAATGAATCACTGAAACCCTTGGTTCAACTAGAATTCGAATACGGTCACCAGTGTCATCGCCTGGGGATGAATATGGCCTGATTGTTCGTCCAGGTCCCTTCGTTGGTGGTAATTCTCTGTTTACCGTAGATGATGAACAGTGTTTTGTCAGTTCTTTCAAAAATGAATTCGGGACGAGCGAGGGGTAGTATTTGGATTCTAAAAGAATTTTACTCACCATGTGGCCTCATATATATATATACAGGTTTTGACAAAGATAAAATTAATCAATTGTTAGAAATAATAGAGATAGCATCAGCCAGCTTTCATATAATAAAAAATAAAAATACACTTAATCAATTAGCTAAACTATAAAAATATTTTAAAAATTTTACCTTACTTTTTTCAAGAAAGAGGATCAAATTCTTTAGATATGTACTTACTAAAAAAATATGCATCATATAGCAGTTACTTTCAACTAAACAAAATAATTTCATTTAAGATCCATGAAATGGGTTAAAAAACTAACCTAAATTTACAATATAAATAATGTTCGGAAGCAAGCCGAATACTGGCCCCGTACAGCAAACGATATAATATAATCAAGGACAAAAACATGTAGCTAAACCCCATGATTCCTCATCAAATGGGCCATTTGTAGATGGCACATCAGCCCTCCACTCCCCAAAAAGAAAATATACTGGACAACAATGCTGGACCAACACAGTTGAGATCAAGGACAACAATGCTGGACCAACACAGTTGGGATTTACAGAAGAAGGCACATATCCACCCCATGAAATACTTAAACCCACAGTCCTGTGGTTCAGACCTGGCGTACCTCAAGTCATGGTTCAAATTAACAATATACTTGATATTTGAAAAATCACCTACCAAAGTACCAAGCGATTCAAAGCATCGACGCTCTGTTTTTTGCTATTTTTCTGTGCACATCCATTAAACTGCCATTATTCAAACCTGACAGATGTTTCTAATTCCTATATTTGGTGTATCTTTCACTCAAAAAAAACTTACATACAGTAGCATATATTGCGGTACTCTGAACCATGAATCAGATGCCGCATAAGGCATAACTCTTGAAGCAAGAGGTCATTGGCTCCAATCGTGACTTTCCTATTTGAAACCTATCTACTACAATATTAGTTTTTATATACTGAGAAAAATTTCTGTCTAATATTTAATGGTATAACATCATAATTATTTTAATTTTTATATACACTTTTAAACTTTTTCTATTTGTAAATACAATCTATATATCTCTATATTTGATTTGGTTTCAATGCATTTCTTAAATCCAAATATTATATATATATATATATATATATATATTATATGATTAATAATTACTTGTACATATGCATAATACGTGTTCTTATACTAGTATCACATATGTAGTGGTGAAAGTGGGGAGGGTTGGGTTGGGTTTAAGGTCAACCTAGGCCAATCCTAAGATTTGGATCTTAGTGTAAGGTGCCAACCAGCTGGTTGGTAAGGTCTCCTGCTAGTCATAACAAAAACTTGAAATTGAATCTTGCCTGCACTTGGGTTGAGGGGTTGGCTTTTATCATGTAATGCGACTCCACCTACATGTCTGTTCAATAAAGAGATGATTAACATTTAAAATATTGTAATTGAGTTGATTAGGCTGATCCAATGGAGGGAAGATGGCATGTACACCTTACAGAAGGTGCCCCACACGGACATCTCAGTGTACATTGGAAAGAGTTCACATCTGTGACCTATAAGGGGGCGCCCCACAGTACATCCCAACCATATATTGAGAATTTTTCTCTCAATAATGTATTATTATCTTCCATATTATCATCGGGAGATATTCCCAATACAAGGTCGGAATGTATTATGGGGCATTGTGGGGTGACTCCTTATGGGGAGCTGATGAAGATATAAACTCCATTGGAGAAGCACAATAATTCAAAGATTTTAAACTATCGTGTTGAACTCCATCGATAAATTTTTACATTGATAGAATTTTACACCACTTCCAAACAGTCTTAAGAAACCATGAAAAATCAAAAAATGTTTAAACCAGTAATAGCTTGGAGAAGCAATATAAATTTCATGAATATTAATATTTAAGAAAATAGCTAGGCCGAATTATATTGATCAAACGTACAATGTCTGGAAGGATCTCTGGAGTCTTGAGTCAAGAAATGACAAATAAAACAGACCAATATAAAATAAAATTTTCTTCAGTCTTCATCTCTTGAGAAGCTACCTAGCTTCCTTGAACAGTGCATCGGAGGAGCTAGATCATTGATTCCATTCTACCAGGTTCTAAAAACCGGTCCGGAACGGTTATTGTTCTGGCTGCTGGTTTTTGGGTTGATGGTTGGAATGATGCTTCAATTCAATTTTAAAAATAAAAAAAAATAATAATAATAATAATTGAAATAAAAAGTTTATATATAAACCATTGAATTGGTCAACCACCTGGGTCAGTAGACCAACGGTTTTTGACGAAAAACACAGAACCAGTTATCTGGACGTTCCCGGGCCGAATGGTCCAATTTTCCGAACCAACAGCGGTTGGAAAACACTGCATTCTACTCCTGGCCGCTGGGCTTAGTAGATCTCCCCTATTGCGTTAGTTGAGCTCCGAAAGAATTTCAGGAATATAATTCTATTTCTACGTACACATTGCAGCCTTCAAATCACCTATTGCTATTGGAGTGTGAATCCGTGGAACATACTTGGTAGCTATTACGCTTCCGAACTTTTGTTGCAGAAAAGAAAACGAAAAAAAAAGCAAGAAATAAAATTCATGAATAATATAAAGTGATCTGACATTACAGAATTTAAGATGCAACGTGAATCCAAAGAACTTATTTATGCGTTTTTCTGGGACTGAGATCTTTGTTTAGACGGAACAGTCAGGGCTCAGGCCTGGAAGCCAGTGCCAAAATGGGTCCATCCTTTGTGCTAAATAAAAAAGAAAAAAAGGGTAACACTTAGAACCAGAAACCCTTCCTTCCACGATCCAGAAAAGTAACCCTATTTCTATTTGTAAAATTGAAACAAAAGAAAAGGCCTCGGGACTTCACAATTGCAGGAAAAAAGTGCAGCAAATATGGTAATTTGAAGAGCTGTGGACTGGAAAGAGACCATCGATTACAAGCGTGGTTATGTCTGCCATCAACAAGCATCCTTGTCGAGAATAGATTTCGTCATAGAATGAAGTTAAAAGATACGATTCGAGGAAAAAGGAGAAAAAGTGGGAAATGCAAAGTTAAGAAATTGTTTCCACGTTCTGACTTCTGAGGCCAAAAGCTATTAACCCTGAGTCCTGACCTCTTTGATTTTGTAAACAACTATCAAGTATTCCACCTTCACCAGTGTTTTCAACCAGTCATTCTTCATTTATTCCTGGCGGTTGAACTGGTTCTCAGTTTTTGCCCGGATGACCGCCCGGTTGAACCTTCCGACCTGCTACATGGCCAGCTTTCCAGGTGGTTAGTTCTTTTTCTTTTTCTTTTTTGTAAGCATTGAATGAATATTTCATGTGAATATGCAGTTTCTAATTCTCTATCAAATGCCTTACAGCAAGGATCGGATTCATTTATTCCCCGTTTGCGTTTGGGAGGCTTTTCACGCAGCGGCTTCTGCTGTTACAAGGTAAGCTACACCCTAAAAGCCATAAAGCCGTGTTTAGTGAAAAACCCATAAAACCACAAATAGACTTGCATGATCTGATATCTGGTAAAGCTATTTTGATGGGTTATGTCCGCGGCGTCTCACTCAAGACATCTCAACACACGGTTCAACACTGTAATCCGAAGCTCTCTTATACGGTCCCCTATTTAGGGATGTAAACGGACCGAATCAGATTCCAATAAGGTATATTTGAATCCTATTCAACAGTATTGTTCATGTCGGACATGATCCGATCAGATATGATAGGATTCAATTTGAATCAAATTTTATCGGATCTTCGGATCTCTGGGCCTGATTTGATCCGATTTATTTTCTTTAAAAATTAATAAATTATACCAATTTAAATAAAAAACAAAAAATACAAATATTTTTAATTATTTTTATTATATATATACATGTTTTTATAAATAAATAAATAAATAATATGACAAATTTGTAAAATATAATATAAATAATATATATATTATATTTATATTTATATTTATATTTATAAATATATAACACATCAGATCGAATCTTTTCGGATCAGATAGGAGTGATCCGAATCTGAATCCAATCCAATCAAAAAATCTGGCCATGGGTGATCCAAATTCAGCCAAATAGGATCGGATCTCAGATCGATTCCATTTGCACCCCTACCCCTAGCATCATCAATGCTAAAAAATTCAAAATGCAAAGTCATTAAAAAATAAATAACTAATAAGAATTATGGAAGCATTATCCTTGTCACGTGGCAATACAGTCGCGAACTCAAAAGGGCCCTCCATGTTTTTCTTGCACGACTTTACTTATGGGGGCAAAATTTAGCCCCAAATCGATCACTAGCCACCTGTCAATCATATTCTTCTTTTTGGAGAAAACCACTAATACAAAGTGAAGTCTAGTGCTGACGTGAATTATAGGATTGCACATTTGGCAAATCCAGAGGGTCTCCTAGGCCCCTATTTTATGGAAACTTCAAATATACCATATCGTCTTTCCACGTGGTAGAAACAAGATAAATCATCTAGGACTCCCCGTTTGACCTGATAAGTAAACAATGCAAAGTCATATAACATAATCTCCCAGCCTCTTTTCATTGTTGAAATTTTAGCTGAAAGTACCTAAGGTGAGACTTTGAACCTTATAATGCATGAAAAACTTGATGATTATAACATGTAGACATAGATCTGGACTAGGTTTGCTTTACGGAAGGGACTACACAAAATAGTACCTGATAGAATGAATCATCCACATATCAAGATGATAACACTACTTAACGATGTTCCTCAATCTCCACGGGAGGTTTTTGAAGAAGACAATTGATGATAAGTTTGGAATCATCCTTAATTATAACAAGCAGATCACAAAAGATGAGAGTAGCATTTAAGGTTAAAATATCAATATATTTGATATGCCGGTAGAAATGTATCGGGTAGTATCAATTGTTTTTTTTTTCCAATCTGGTTTAGAGGGATTGGTTTATGGTCCATCCACCCTTGAACCGGTCAAAACCCTGGCATACCCTCTGTAGGGGCGTGTTGAGAAGCTCCCGATATAATATGTATCGACCGATATAGATCGATACGTGTTGATTTTTTGAACCTTGCATTATGAGTTTCCCAAGCAACCCATGCTTCGGCAACGTTAATAGAATGTGCTTTCACATTCAAGACCCTGCCAAAATGGTTCCTAACAATATGCATGCCATAGAGAATAATCCATTTAACCCACATGATTTATCAAAATTAATCTTAACATTACCCTCACGAGAATTTTTCCACTGAGTAGGCAACCATTCTTTATCATGATTATTCCCATAAACAAGATCCTCACCCAAACAAGATTTCATATCCATAAGGAAATTAATGTAGGGGAGATCAGATTCTTATTAAAAACTTCATTATTTCTATTTTCCCAAAAGAATCACAAGAAAGCTATATATTTTTCTTTAGTTAACAGCTTACAATAACCATTAGATGTGTCAAATTTTAATCCACCATTCTCAAATTGAGTTATCATCAGCATTAGGGAAACCATCATTAGAGCCGATGGTCATCCACACTTGTTTAGCATGAACATTTAAGAAAAATGTAGTCTATATCTTCATCTTCACCACAAATGGCACAAGAAATATCAATGTTACGACCCATATCAATAATAAACTTTTTAGTGCGGAGTTTATTATTAAAAACAAGAAAAAAGAATACTTTAATCTTAGGGGGGCAAAGGATTCACTAAATACTTTTGAGAAAATTAACAGGCATAGGATTTTCCAAATTTGCTAAATACTCACTCTTGTATGCAAGATCTGCTGTGTAATTACCACTTGAAGTAAGTCTCTAAATCATTTTGTCTTCCAAAGGAATAGATGGAAGAATAATAGGTTTAATCTTCCACCAAGTCGAAAATGGCACCAAAGACCGAATCAATTGTTTCTCTTATTAACAATATGATCATTGATCATAAGATCCAAATTCTCAATGTGATCTTGCTCCACCTCATTAACAAGAGGGGTATTGTCGGGCCCAAACATCAATCCAAATTTTAGCCATTTTACCATAGTTGATGACCCAACCAATAACCCTAGCTCTTAATCACATCTCTCGAAAAGAGGACACCCCTCCAAGCCCAAGAAACATCCTTTTTAGTTGTGATTTCCCAAAAACTATCTTTTAGGGGGTGTTCTTTTTTTGGATTTTGGGAGGGGGGAAAGTTGGTCATTGGGATTTTGGTTTCCAATTGACCAAGAATCCCATGTTCATTTTTCAGATTTATGTGGGGACTAGGGAAAGTTTATTTTCCTGGGTAAGTGATACCCATTTCCTAGGTGGGTAAATAACTTTCCCGCATAGGGGGAAAGTTGCTAACACTTGAATGAGACAAAAATACCCCTTTTAATAATGAATTTTTATGGCTAAAATGGTCATTGTCTTATTTACCTAAGAAATAAAAGAAACATGGGTAAATACATTTACCCGGATAAGTGTTTCCCAGGAAAAACTTACCCAAGTAATTACATTTACCCGGGTACATAACTTATCGAAAAGCAAATGGGGCTAAGGTATTTATTTGATACCATCCTTACCCATAAACTTTCTTGATTAGTCAAAACACGCCAATCCAATTTTGTGCATCCATTTGAGATTTTTGATCCCAAGATTACCCCAACTTTTAGGTGTATAGGCACACTTTCAATTAATAAGGTGAATTGTATTATTATTATTATTATTATTATTATTATTATTATTATTATTATTATTATTATGTGATTATATGATTTAGACTAAATAATGTTTCTCTGCATCTTATCAAGTCCCTCAATCATATTATTAGGAGTTTTAAAAGATCTCATTATCAATTGGAACATCATGCAAGTAGTAGAATTGACTAGAGTTAACTTGTTTGGAAGAGAAGGGAGTTCATTTTCCATCAGATTAGTTCTCTCTCAATCCTCTTTTTGAAATTTTTAAAAATTTCTTTGGACACTCTTCCATTAATAAGAGGAACACTTTAAGTACAAGTCCTTTTTGGATTCAAGAGGGATTTTTAGAAATATTGACATAATTTTTCTAAGTCTAGAATGAAAGTTCCTAGAAAAGCAGAGCACAGACTTAGAATAATTAAGGCATTAATTGCCTTAAGGCCTTGGCAAAATTATCTATAGTCTCTTTGATTTTAAGGCACATATTTACATAAGTCTTAGCAAAGATGAGATGATCATTTGCAAATTGAAAGATTGGAATAGAATCTCTACGAGACAATTTACAACCAATCAATTTTTCCAACAAATAGATTCTCTCTCAAGCTTCCTAGACATGTCTTTCGCACACAAAACAAAAAATAGTGTTTAGATAGTCTAGTCATTTGGTAAACTTTCTTAGATGGTGGGCCAAGGACCTCGCATGTGGAAAATTGATTTGGAGGTGAAAACTGAAAAGGAGTCTTCAGGTTGCTCAGTTGCTCTCCAATGTCTACTCATGAAAAAAATTTTTGACCCAATTTACCTTTTCATTACAAAATTTGTTTTTGCTTATAAAATCATCATATTGATGGTTTCTAAAACTCGTATCAAAACAACAAAAGCAGCTATTTTTTACTTTTCCAAATAAAGATATAATTCAAGAACGCATTTTTATTTTTCTCTTCTGTGACGATTTCAAAAATAAATGAAAATAAAAACATTCTTCAGAACCTAACTACAAAACGCATTCTTTAATAAAAACTCTGCTAATAAACTAATAACGAACATGTCAACTTGACGCCACTTCTCAATTGAAAAGATGTAAGGTAGGCTTAATTACTTTGAAATTGAACGCTTGGAAAGGTTTTTGTAGGCCTTGGCAAAAATTAAGTTCATATAAGAGTCCTACCCACAAAAGCAAATAGACAAGAGTCATTCCGTTACCATTTTAACTGTCTAAATACCTAGAAATTATGCATCAACCATCCCTCCTGTAATCCGGATGGGAGAGAGAAAGGACTGATGCATTGTAAACAATGTTCAAAAAATCAATACGTATTGGCCGATATGGATCGATAAGTATTATATTAGGAGTTTCTCGATATGCTCTTATAAAGGGTGTATTAGGGTTTTGGCCGGTTTAGAGGATAGATGGATCTTAAACTAGCTCCTTTGAATTGGATTAAAAAAAAAGACATAAAAATTAAAAAAAAAAACTAATACTGCCCGATACACCTCTACCGATATAGCAAATGTATCGATATTTTGAACTTCATTGTAAGTTATCTAAACTATCTTGTTTGGACAGGTGTTTAGGGAGCTGGTTTCAGATTTTCCAATTTTTATGTTGCCTTCACCACTGCTTTCTTGATTTAACTTCCGAAAAGTGCGGATTCTCCCCCCATCAACCCCAGCCAAGAAGAGGCCTTTACAGCATAAAGATCAAAAGATGTGCCTTCAAACACCATTCAATCGGCAGCCACCCGGGGAATGGGCTGCAGAACACAAGGCAGGGCCCATTTTCTTTTTCAGCAATGGACCCAGTGATTGATCTTTGGACATGTGGCACGTGCCCAAATTCGTGTCAAGGATCTCTCCAGGCTTTATCTGATTATAATCTTCTCGGATTAACAACCCTGAATAAAGTCCTAATCAACACCATTAATAAGAATATTAAACTTAATCCTCTTATAAAAAAATAGAAAAAGAATATTCAAATCAAGCATGACTTAGGAAAAGCAGGAATTGGTTTGTGGGGGGACCTCAATTCCCTCTTGTTTACAAATAAAACATCATTCTTGGACAGCATTCAAATCCACCCATCATCATATAGCCCATTTTTCTTTCTTTCTTTTTCCGAATTAATATAAATAACGGATTAAAAGAAACCTATTATGTTTGAAAAAAAACTAAATCCCCCCCCCCCCTCCCAACAAAAGAAAGAAGAAAGAAAGAAAAACCTAACAAGCTAGTTGCAATGTCTGTCTCCTAATCCAAATAGAACTCCGGCCATTTGTACATGTTAGTTTTGATCCCATAATCAAAATTTGTGTTCAGGTGAGATGAGGCCTACGTATCCTTCCAACAACTCCTAATCTAAGGACAGATGGTTAGGTCTTAGGCTTTAGCTGTTTACCAAGAAAAAGATAGGCAATAACGTTAATTAAATGTTTGTGGATTTGAACTTATTAGGAAATCAATATTTCTGCACATAAAGAAGAAAGAGGTCATAGTCATGGAGTTGGAAGAGTAGATAGAAAGACAAGAAGCCGTCCTCACTTTGTCCTTTTTAGAGACCAAATTGCCCCTTATCATGTGGGCCGGGCTTACTTGGATTGGAAGAAGGGCAAAACCCTCCTCCCCTGACAAATATGATAATATTTAAGGACCAATACCCAGTACAAATTTCCCAAACAAGAGACAAGGAGTTGGAATATGGAATACTGAACTGCTAATGATTGAAGAAAAAAACCAACTATAACAAAACCCTAACTAGGTTTCCTCCCACATGTGATACACAGAATTCACCATGTCATAATACAAAGAAAGCTTCTTCAGTAGTGTGATCCAAGTGTTAATTGCCCTTATTAAAGCAGCAACTGGGTTCATTCCAAAAACCACCAAATGAAGCAGCTGTGGAGAATTAACCCTTTTCACAGTTGGTTGATTGGAGGGTGAGATATGAAAGATTGAGCTGCAGGCTTAACCCTCATAGGTGACAGACAGGCCAACTTGGTTCAGATTTCAGATGGGGAGATGGAAGAGAGGACTTGGATGTAGAAGAGAGCCTAGATCCTAGAGGGAATACCGAATACCCTACCTACAATTTATAGCGATTGATGGTGTTGGAATGATTTGTATAGCTTGTATTGAATGTTTCAATAGTTCATATTTATATAGAGCATGCCCTTGATTTTGGGAGAATGGTACAAAGTACGATTAGGTATTTGTATTCAAAAGCCATAAGCATTATTATATGTTTACACATGGTTTATTTTGTATATAAAGGAGAAAAGTGGGGAATTTTTGCAGAGTTTGGAGAGTGATTAGGAGGCAAGGAATGTGAGAAGGTTTGGGTAGGGGGGTGGTGGTGGGTTTGATGGTGATGATGCACGCCGGCAGCTTTTCTGACGTCCTCTCACTCTCTCTCTCTCTCTCCTTCCTCTCCCCATAAATCTATTAGGCACGCCTGCTCCCACTCTCTCTCTCTCTAAATAAAAAGCTAACCCACTAAACCATTCTCTTGACCTCGACCATGTTAACTTTCCTCTCCATTGTCAGATACAATTCTAAAACCAGGTACTCCCGTGCCACCTTCTAAGTTTAACAGAAAGACCCACATCAGTCAATCCCTCATAAATTTTTATAAAAAACCAGCAACAACAAAAGAATAACCAGAAAAGAAACCGCACTTATTCCTCATCGATTACACCGAGAAAATTACTCTCTCTCTTTGCAGCGTCTGTGTGTGCGTATGTATGTATTCTATCTATGTATTTGTGTTCTGAAAACTCTACTAATATCCAGCCTACTCAAGATCCTCCTTTAAACACTCACTTTTCCATTTCGTTGTTTAAAACACAAAAGACCCATCTCTCCTCCGCAGCAGAACTGGGCTTCACACACAAGTATTCTGCAGAGCTTATTGATGTGGATCTCTGGTTAAATGGATACCTTGTTTAGGCTGGTTAGTCTTCAATCTGATCAATCCTTCAACTCTAGTAGAACCTCCAGCAGCTCTAGATCTTCTAGACAAAACCAGCAGTACCACCACCAAGAAGAAGAATGCTGCAACTTTTTCATGGATGAAGACGATTTCTCTTCTTCTTCTTCTTCCAAACACTTTTTCCCTTACCAACAGCATCACCACTACCCATCCACCGCCACGACCCCAAGCCATACCACCACTACTAACACGAGTACTACCACCACTCATGGCTTTGAACCCTCCGACTTCGCCTTCTCCCCTGCTCCTGACCTCAACCTTGAATTCGCCTCTACGACGTCCGGTAAATGGGCAACCAACCTCCTCCTCGAGACCGCTAGGGCGATCGCCGATAAGAACAGCTCCCGTGTCCAACAGCTCATATGGATGCTCAACGAACTCAGCTCCCCATACGGTGACACTGATCAGAAGCTCGCTTCATACTTCCTCCAAGCCTTGTTCAGCCGAATGACCGATTCCGGCGAGCGATGCTACCGGACCTTATTATCGGCATCGGAGAAGACGTGTTCTTTCGAATCCACCAGGAAAATGGTATTGAAGTTTCAAGAGGTGAGCCCGTGGACTACCTTTGGCCATGTAGCTAGCAACGGTGCAATCTTGGAGGCCTTTGAAGGGGAGAGCAAATTGCACATAGTGGACATTAGCAACACGTACTGCACTCAGTGGCCTACTCTGCTTGAAGCCTTGGCGACGCGCACCGATGAGACGCCGCACCTACGACTCACCACCGTAATGGCCAACAAGACTGGATCAGGCTCCGGTGGCGTGGCGGCGGTTCATAAGGTGATGAAAGAGATCGGGAATCGAATGGAGAAGTTCGCCCGGCTTATGGGTGTGCCCTTCAAATTCAATGTAGTGCACCACGTCGGCGACTTATCGGACCTGAACTTAGCTGAATTGGATATTAAAGAAGATGAGGCTCTTGCCGTCAACTGTGTCGGTACACTACACTCGGTAGCGGATGTCGGTAACCGCCGCGACGTCATCGTATCGGCGTTTCGTCGGCTGCGGCCGAAGATCGTTACTGTCGTGGAGGACGAAGCCGACTTTGACGTCGGCGTTGACGGGTTTGACTTTGTCAAAGGGTTTCAAGAGTGCTTGAGGTGGTTCAGGATATACTTCGAGTCTCTGGACGAGAGCTTTCCGCGCACCAGCAATGAGCGGTTGATGCTTGAGCGTGCGGCAGGGCGATCTCTCGTCGACCTCTTAGCCTGTTCACCGGCCGAGTCAAGCGAGCGGCGTGAATCGGCCGGTCGTTGGTCGCAGCGTCTACATGGGGCTGGGTTCAGCCCAGTGGCGTTTAGCGATGACGTGTCGGATGACGTGCGTGCGCTTCTAAGACGGTACAGAGAGGGTTGGTCGATGTCACCTGGGTCCGATGCCGGAATTTTCTTGGCATGGAAGGACCAGCCAGTCGTATGGGCTTGTGCTTGGAAGCCTTAACAGCGAGTTTAGCACGACGCGCGTGCATGGGTGGTGAGTTCACACGTGCATGTCATTCAATCGAGAATCATGTTTGGTATTTGGTAAAGTTAACGGAGAAGGAAAAAAAAAAAAAAAGCAAGGTGGAGAGTTTGGAATTTGCTTGAATTGAATAGAAATGAAGGAAATACATTATTGATTGCAATTACTTTTGTTTTTTTTTTTGTGATTGTTATTTATCATATTTTGAGGAATTTATGTGGTGAGGTTTGCCTTCGAAGAAAAGAAAAGAAAAAAAAAAAAAAGTGATAGTGCTCAGTTGACCTTTATACGAGTGCATGTGCAGAAAAGAGTTTGCTTATTGGTTCCTTGTTGGAGAAAGCAGAATGCAGCTGTTTTAAGCAAGATATTGTCACGTGGATGCCTAGTTGGCTGTTCAAATTGGGTTCATGTAATTTACTTATTATTATTTGTTGTACTAGGTAAGTTTTATCTTTTGCCACGTGGCAAGTAAGACCATTCTTCACCCTTGTTTGTTTATTTTCAACAAATGATTTCTAGATCATTCTTCAAAGGAAAGGAAAAAAAAAACTAGTCTTGTGTGGCCAACCGGCCCCGGATGCATATATAAAGACATTCTTGAGATTTGTATTCCATATTTTGTCCTTCTTCCTCACCTCACCATGAGTATGATTTGAATCTGCTATTGTCATTCATTTGCATGACAAAAAGAATCTCTATATGAATGATTCAAAACAGACTCTTTTTTTTTTTTTTTGCCCAAGGCAAAGTGATTTTAGTTTTAGGGATGCAAATATTCACCCGACTGTTGATTTGATTAGGTTTTCGAGTCAGATTTGGCTAATCCAAGTCCAACTCCAACCCATGTAGTGGGCGGGTGAGGTTGGCTCAATCACATCTGTCATCTGGACACGGGCTATCAGCTCCAGTCTCCAGTCCAGAATGGAATGGGGTAGCGCGTTAGGTGGAGAGGTGAGATCAGCTGTGAAGAGAAGAGAATTATAAAAGACTGAGCACTAAGCATGAAGATTAAAAAGTTAGAAAAAAAAAACTTTCAACTTTTAAATAAAAAAGGGTCATTATCTAGTGGGGAGCCATCGAATCTTAGGACGGCCACGACACGAGTTGGGTTTAGTTTGGGGAATCTAACAAAAAGGGTTTTAGTCTGTAGTGGGGACGAGGGGCTTAGTGGCCTGCACGCTTTGTTGATGTGGGTTTTGGCTTTTTGTGTTTCCATCTTCAGAGGGGAAGAGTCCTTTTGCCTTTTTAGGGCCCTCCACCACCACCAATTCAATCACCTTCCACAAAGCTCTCATGGTAACGTTGAGAGATATGCCTTCTTTTGGCCCACACACAAACGTAGTGGGAAATTCTTTTGATGGGACTTGTTCCCCAAATCTCCACGATGCTTCTACCTTGGCTCATGACCCCATTTGCTCTTTCACCTTATTTGTGTAAGCTGAAGTTATCCATGTGGCCTTTTCCCTTCTTTTTTATTTATATATATACCTATCCAATCACCATTTCTTCTTCTTCTTTATACACTGTGCACTACTGATGGTGTCTCTGCTTAAAGCACTCAATGGGGATGGGAAACTTCTGTGTTGGGTGTCGATAGGAAACGCTAGGTTGTATAGCAAGGAGTATAGAGCCCTTTTGCTATGACAAAAGAAGATTCCAGGATTAACATATTTTCTGTTATGGGGTCCAATATAAACCTATCACTCACTTTTCCGTTGCAAAAGGTTCTGCTACTGTTAGAACAGTATGTTATGTTAGCCGTATGAGGGGATCCACCAAGTTGTCCTCTATATGGGCAATGGCCGGACAGCTTTGGTAGACGAGAGGTTTTGGCCTTTGGGGAAGAATAATGGCCCAAGAACCTTGCACGTCTCACATAATTGATAATTGGAGGGGAGGTTCAGAAGTAAATGTTTCCCCTTTTTCACACAGTTTATTCACGAAGCTAAGTTTCAGCTCAAAAGTCCCTGCTATATGGGCCAAATTTATCCCTTCTTTTTTTGACTATTTTGAATGACAAATTGAAGCTTCCGGCCCTTAACATCACATGGAAATAGTTGGAAGAGATGATAGCTTATAAAGTTGACATGGCTAATCCAGAGGGCCCCTCCCCCTACCCATCTTTTCTATCCACCAAAAAGAAAAACAGGTCTTTGTGGCAAATTTGTTTGGAGCTCAAAAAAGTTTCTGAATTCCTCTAGCTTGTATGTGCCAAACAGGTGCTATATATATACGTGTAGTTTTTTTTTTTTTTGTGTGTATTAGTAAGGTTATTTCATTAACTACATATATTATCTAGTGGTTGGTTTTGATTGGACACAAAACCTCCCTTTAATGTGTCAGAAATAGGTGGCTTTAATGCTTTGTGCTAACTGCTAGGGCTGCAAATTGGGTTGTCTGATTTCAAGAATTTCGGGTATATGGGGCTCATGTTAAAGTAACATATTTCCAACCCAATTAGTTAGTTGCACCCTGCCCTAATTCATCCCTTTCAGGTCTGCTAGTGAGGTTGTTTAGAGCCCAAAATGGCCCCACAAATTCCTATTGGTATTTTTTATCAATGGGCCGAATTTGAGCCCAAATACCCTTATCGTGAGTAAAACTAGGTATAAAATATTAAAAAAAAATTAATGGCAATTATTATTACTTGGAAAGAACTCCGAGGAGGTGAAGGTGGTGGCTGGGGTTGATGTGGGCCAGAGGATTAAAGAGGTGGCCAATCTATAGGGTCCTTGTCTTTAGTGGATGGTTCGAATTTGCCATGGCAGAAATATGGTACGTTGCGTATGGAAGATCGATCCTTACTTGACTACACATAACTCAATAAAGCTCTTTCCCAAACATGTGGTCAGCTAAATAAATCCTATTTCACTTTCCAGGCAATATCTTATCTTATTCTATATAAAAATAGCCTAATAGAGAAAGTGAACCATGGGTTGGCATGTGAAAATCAATATGTCGGTTCCTTTTAACAACTTCGATTAATTAAGTACTTAGCATGACTGGGTTATCACAAAAAGAAAATGCAATACTCAATTTCATTATCTACTTACATTGGAATTTCGATGGGTTCATCATACAGTGCACTCCACAATACATCTCAACCGTGTATTTGGTTCTTGGGTTGAACGGTCCGACTGTTATGTATTCTGATAAAAAAAATAAAAAATTAAAAACTCAAAAAAAGCGGCTAAAAACTATTTTTGGGTCAAATGGTTTGATTGTTTAACCACCCATATCATCAGTTTACTAACTAAATCAATGATTTTTTACTAAAAAACAATTTTATGATTAAACGGACCAATTTTTCTAATCTAACCATCTGATCCAATCCGGTTTTGAAAATATTAATGTGAATAATCCATCTAAATTTCACCGAAAGAAAGAAAGAAATAGAATTATAGAAATGAACATCTACAAGACTACAACTTTCAAAAGGGTGAGAGGGTGACACTAAAAAAGTTCGACACATTTATGATAGGAAAACCAGTTACGTGGTTTTAGTATCGCCATGAAGCGTGAAAGGAGCATTTCCCACTCAAAATTCTTTTCCTCTTTCCATGGGTTGTATAACCGGGTCACATAGTAAGGCAAAAATCCAAGAAATAAGAAGACCCGGTTCAGATTTAGATATTAATTTGTTAAAGCTTAATTAGTTATAGAAATAAAAGTAAGGCATGTAGGTAAGGTATGAATATTTGAGTTAGGTTATAATGGTTTTAATTAATAATTGATATGATGAATAGTGGTTAGGTTACATAATAATCTTTTTTTGGCCAGGCTATATATATGCCACCTAAGTGGTTGTGTCTAACGTAGGTAGTTGATAGCAAGGTTCAAAGTATCGATACGTATCGGTTTGTATGTATCGTTTCAGGACCTCTCTAATATGTCTCTCTAATGGGTGTATCGGGGGTCTGACTGGTTTAGGGGGTGGAGGAGACCTAAGCTGCCCCCCTGAACCAGTTGCAAAAAAATAAAATAAAAAAAAAAGTATAAAAATGCAGTATCGATTCACTCGATACGCCCCTACCGACGTATTGGATGTATCGACATTTTGAACTTTAGTTGACAGTTGACACAAATCATTGTATTCAATCTGTCATTGGCTCGATCAATCGAACAAGTGACCTTATGAACCGATCGCAATCTAGGTTCAGGCTATCGACTCGGTTATTAACCCATTTACTCAGATGCTTGAGGTGTTGACCCATAATAATGGCATCATAAGTTGATCCAAATAGTTGAATTGTTGATCTATTGATCAGAAGAGGAAAAGGGTTCAACTTGGGATCTCTTTGGTTGTTTGGAAAAATAGCATGGGTTGTTTTGGGAGCCTTTGCACATGATACCTGATGATGTTCAATCCAAGGTCGTAGTCAGATAATCCTGCAACCTGGGCAGAGCCGAGGTGGAAGGATGAGGCCATACATCAAGATCTAAAACCAAGAAAACAGTTAGAGGCCCGAGGAGTTATTCCCAGGTAGGTACTTCGACGCTCAAGTTAGTCAAGAATAGTGGGCGGTCGGGCCGAGCATTTAGAGAACAATGCTGGTCCGAGCATAGTAATGGTATGGAAAAAGTTGGATCCCTTACCTTGAGCGGGATGTACCTTTTTATAGCCAAATATTCGTGTCCTGGTCGGATGAGGCTTCCGAGGTGTTCTTCAGGATAAGACCTAATCCCCAACGGAGTTTTCCTCATCCATGCGACGTCCTCCCATCTTGGTCACACTTCTCCATATGACGTAATGCCGACATGGCCGAGATGATAAGGAGGGTTGCAGAGGTGACGTGGTGCTGATATGGACAAGGTGATAAGGCGGCCACGGGGCAACACATGGCACTTAGAATCAACAGAACCATAACCCAAACAACACCTTAGCTAATTCAGATGTTCATTTGTCTTTTCAACTAAAAAAATATAGTGTAAATAATATTTTACCCAAACTCATTACGAGATGTCATTCACAGCAGCCTTCTAAACTACCACCAATTTAACTACGGGTTATTATCTAAAACTCCATGATTAGTGATTTAGTAGAAGTTGTTCGGACAAGTCATTAGTTATTTTTAATGACCAAACTAACCCTGATATATTTTATTAAATAATCGTTTAAAAAAGAATAGGTAAAAAAAGTTATTCTTTTATCCTCTTCCAACCCAAAAGTGCCAAGCTTGCTTGGATGAAGAGATCGATGAACCCCAAATCTAAAACAAAGGAGTAGTATGATAAATTTGATAATCACACACAACTAAATGAAGGGGTGATACATGCAGTAAATTTGGGAAAAACCATTCAGGGTAGGTTAATTTAAGAGGAATGGGACAATGAATCCTGACTATCCATTAGGATGAAATCTTCGCTTGACTCATGGACCAAGACAGATTTATGGTCGATTTTTGAGAAGCTAAAAGCTTAATTAATTGACCCCCACTCTACCTACCACCCACCTGCAGCCACCACCACTAAAGAAAGGGAAAC